TACTTAAAGAACCCTTGGAGAACCATCTTTTCTAAAGTGTATATACAGTACCAAAAAGGGCTCTTCTATTGTTACAAGCTCAGACAATGGAAGAACTCTTTTTTAGGGTTTTATTATTAAAGAGACTTATGGAGAATGTGCTGGAGATGGTTCTATGTAGCATCCAAAATGGTTCTTCTATTGTTACAAGACATAGTAACAATAGAAGAACCATTTTGAGTACTTGAGTACTATATGGAACGCTTTTCAAAAAGCGCATTCAGCATATTCTCCATCGATCTGAAGAACACTTTAATGATGCAAGGAACCCTATTATCATGCAAAGAATTATTTGAGTGTTCAGGGTTCTTTGTAGAACTTTAATAAAGAACCCCTGAGGAAACAGAAGAAAACTCCAGACGTGAGCAGTGTTCCTCAGTCAGAGCTGTGACGAAGTGCTGAGAGGATGTCAGGTGGTTCTCTGATGTTTGAATCTTCAGTAGAGAACGTAAGTGTTCTTTGCGCTGCTGTGTAAAGCAACGCTATCTGTGCAGCATCAACACCTCAAACAGAGAAGCTCTCTGAGGTTAAATAACACTTACAGCGGAGAGATGTAAATAGTTTCCACTCTATCAAATGGAGCAGTAATGCCTCACTGACACCAGCAGAGTCATGAATAGTTTCCACTTTACACCAGTTTATAATTCAGAACCGACTGGAAGGAACCAGTTAGAAACCCCCTTAATTTATTTAACTCACAGTCAAAACAGCTATTAAGTAGAAGTTACTGATTTTTCAGCAGATACTTGTGAGGAGGTTAGATATCACTCTTAAACAAGATGGTTCTTCAAGGGTTCTTTAGTATAGAAAATGGTTCTAACTCTCAAGGAACCCTCTGCATGCTTGAAGGTCTCTGCATGGTGAAATTGTTCTTCAGATTGATGGAGAATGTGCTTTATATGGTTCTATAGCAACAAAAAGGGTTCTTCTATTGTGTAAGCTTCAAACAATAGAAGACCTTTTTGGTGCTGTAGACACTTTAAAAAAGATGGTTCTTCAAGGGTTCTTTAAGTAAAGAGAATGGTTCTATATGGAACTATAAACACTCAAAAACCCTTTGCATGATTAAAGGATTATATGCATTGTGAAATGGTTCTTTAGACTGACAGAAAATGTCTTGTGTATGGTTCTATATAGAACCTTTTTTAAAAGCACCAAAAAGTGTTCTTCAGGTTGTTAAAAGGGGTTGTTACGATGTCAAGCTTGCCACAGTAAAAGAACCCTTTTCAAAAAGGTTCTATATAGAACCATCTATAACACGTTCTCCATCCATCTGAAAATCCCTTTAATCATGCAAAGGATTCTTTGAGCATTCATCGTTCTATATAGAAGTATTTTCTTTACTAAAGAACCCCTGAATAACCATCTTTTTAAGAGTGAAGAAAGTTTTTTGAGTTTAAAAAAAGATTAAAATCTACAGAGAACATGGGACTCCTGACAACTGCCTGCAAGAGAGGTAGACTAACAATGTCCCCATCAGATAAACAAAACTTACAGCTTCCATTACAGAAAAGTCACACAAAGTTCACAGGCGAATAAACACCTGTATTTTTTTTGCAAACTTCACATTTACAGTCAAACAAAGACCAAAGCATGAAATACAAGGGCTTCTTGGGGGTCTGGGACCCCATAATTAACCTCTTGGACCTTCTGAATGTCTCAAATGTCTATAAATTCTGGGGGTCCCTGAAAATAAGCTTATTATGATGTTATGCTGCCTGTTGGGTTAAATAGACACTCAAATCCAGATTCCGTGAAGCTCATTGTTTATCTGCTTCACCCACGATCAGCTTCTCTCTCTTAACTAACTAGAGCTGCAGCACTGCTCTGCCTCAAATTACAAGAGCTGCAGTTTTATAACACTTTACTGCATTACTGCTGAGTGCTGATTGGTTGGCATTACTGCCACTGAGTGCTGATTGGTTAGCATTACTGCTGAGTGCTGATTGGTTAGCATTACTGCTGAGTGCTGATTGGTTAACATTATTGCTACTGAGCACTGATTGATTGGCATTGCTGCTACTGAGTGCTGATTGGTTAGCATTACTGCTACTGAGTGCTGACTGGTTAGCATTACTGCTACTGAGCGCTGATTGATTGGCATTGCTGCTACTAAGTGCTGGTTGGTTTGCATTACTGCTGCTGAGTGCTGATTGGTTAGCATTACAGCTACTTTTAATTATAACCTATATTATCAACACTGTTTTCTTAAGCTTTAAAAACATGGAGCTCTTGATCCTTCTAAGAAAAGCCACCAAACACCCAAGTAAAGGTAAACAATATGACGATATTTTATCGTTATCGTGATAAATTTTGTTTTCGTTAAAAATATAAATGGGGTGTAACAGTACACAGAAGTCACAGTTCAGTACAACGGAAAAAAGCAACACAAACACTCAAATACATAAGCTAGAATCTTTTCTTTTCTAGTGTCATATAGCGCCCCCCTGAGGTAGCTTCAGTTGATGCAGCCTGTAGTGGGTTATTAACACTCGATGAGGAAAGTCACATTTTATCTGAGCATGGATAACTTCAGGTGTGATCTTGTAGTTGGAGCAGAAAACAGAGAAAGGGTCTCTGCGGACCACTGCTGCTAACTTCAGAGCCTGTTTATGAGGAGTCTGGCCTTTCCCAGTTATATCAACGTGACTGCAAAACACCAGAGGCCAAACAAAAGTCAAAACAGTTTCTAATCACTTAACCAGAAATTTAATTTTAGAATGTAGAAGAATGAGTTGCACTACAAAAAGCAAAGAAAACTCACCTGTGTGTTTCCTTTTTTCTACAGCAAAACAGGTTTTGGGCAGCAAGACGCAAACATTACTGATACTGAGTGCTGATCGGTTAGCATTGCTGTACTGAGTGCTGATTGGTCAGCATTACTGCTACTGAGCGCTGATTGATTGGCATTGCTGCTACTAAGTGCTGGTTGGTTAGTATTACTGCTGCTGAGTGCTGATTGGTTAGCATTACAGCTACTGAATGCTGCTCGGTTAGCATTGGTTCTGAGGTGTCCATTAGTCTCAAATAGTATTTTGTGGTTTCCTAATAGGTTGATATCACAGTGTAAAGGACTCGTTGGTTTAACAGGTGTTCTGATTCCAGATGCGTTTGATGGTTTTTTTAATGGAATCTAAAGGTGTCCTACAAGAAACTAGTGGTCTGTAAAGGTATCAATTAAGCCAATTCCCATCAGAAAGCGAAACCATCAGGTTTTAGTCCCTAATGGTTGTAATGGTCTTTTTTAACAGGGCTGTGTTTAAGCCTGATGTCAGAATGTATAAAAACTGTATATCTTGGTCTTCTTGGCGAAAGTAGCAGGTAGCAAATTGCGGTTGCAATATTGCTTAGAAAAAATCACAATCAGATATTTTCCCCAACTCGTTCAGCCTTCTTTCTGTTTTTCCTGATGCTGAAAATAACTTGTACTTAATAGCTGTTCTGAAATGGGAATTAAATAAATAACTTTGGCAAAGTTGCATATTTATACAGTTTTAATTTTACACTAGCACTGCACTAGCATGCACCAGAGGTGCGGACTCGAGTCATAAGACTTGAACTCGAGTGACCAATTTGACGATTTGAGACTCGACTCAACAAATTCAAAAATGATTTGCAACTCGACTTTGACTCGAACACCAATGGCTCTGACTTCGGACTTGAGCCTCATGACTCAGAAAGACTCGAGACCCACCAGAGACTACACAGCCTCTTGCTGTTCACCAACATGGATTCGTTTCCTGCCATAAATTTGATGTACAGCAATGTCCTCAAATGTCTGTTACTGTGACTTGTTATTTGCCAGCTTCATACTGGAATTTTCTGTTCCACCTTAAATGGTGCAGCAGTCTGGTGCTAGAATGTAACTCCTACTCCATTTAAGGTGGAACGGAAAATTCAAAGAAGCCAACTTCAGCTTCGTACGATCACCATCATTTTGCTTTTCTGTAAACTTTGTTCAGCTCAATTGTTTTGGTTTCTGTGGTCTAAATTACATTTAAACTAGTGGCTGTTTTTAGTTTGCTGAGCTAGTTTTTATTTGAATCCTGTGCTTCCAAAAATCATCAAAAATGATCTTATATAATATATATTATATAATATCAAATATAATTTTTTTATTAAGTTTAATAGTACTTTGACATTTCTTTTCATGTGAAGTTGCTAGTGATAAGGCTAGAAAAACTAGCATGACACACTGAATTTCACTGTGAAATTCCACTGGATTTTACAAATATATCTCAAAAATGCGCTATGTTCAAATTTGGACTAATTAATAAATAAACATTAAAAAATAAGTAGAAACACATTCCAGGATACTGTTGACCTGTGCGTATGGATAAAGAAACTAAACAAAATGATTAGATCACTCTTTTATTGAAAAACTGCTGAACATGAACAATCACACGCTGTACATATGTTCCTTCATGATGTTTGGTTTGATATTAATCACAATCTGTATTGACACCTGCGCATGTTCAGACGCGCTGATTACTGATCTGTTCCAGTAAACGTGACTGAGGAGTTCAGTTTGTCCACAGTGTCGCAGTCTTGGTTAACCATGTCCTGTGAGTCAGTGTTGTGTACGGAGCTTATCTGAATGGAACCGTGAAGACTTTCACACAACATTACAAACAAGACGTCACCATTCACCCAAAAAACATAAACGTTACGTTCATCAGTGCAATTTCAAAATGTTCTGCAAATGTGTAAACAAATCACACACTCGACTCAGTTCAGTCTCGCAGGGACAAAGCTTTTAGATGTTGCCTGTAATAAATAAAGACTAAATAAATAAATGTGCTTTTGATTTTTACAAATATAAAAAATGGCTGACCGTCCAAACATTTGTTGTTTCGTTGGAGACGGACAACATCAGTAAATATATATATATATATATATATATATATATATATATTTACTGATGTTGTCCGTCTCCAACGAAACAACAAATGTTTGGACGGTCAGCCATCAGTCTCTACTGCCCTATTAGAGTTAGATTAGCTTTAGCTGGAAACATTCTGTGAATAGTGTGATTTTAATCCCATATGAATCTGCAGCATATGTAGTTGTTACAGTTTGATGGTAATAATTGTTGATAATTAACTATAAACACACTTATCAGGGAACTAATCATTAGTTTCCTGTGTGGGGCTCTGTGGTTATCCACTATGCTGCCGACTTTAACGAGTGATGCATTTCTAAAGGAAATTTTTGAAAATAAATGAAATGCTTTCTCATTCTTGACTTTATGTGCCACTACACAAGCAAAGACGAAGTTGTAATTATTGGCTGTATTTCAGAAAGATAATTACTAAATTGCTCCTTTTATCGTTATTGTTCGGGACAACTAATCCAGTTACAACAGTGCTGACACTAACACTGAAATATTCTCAGTGTCCGAGACTGTAGGTATCAGAAACAAAAAGTCTGAGGGACTGATGGTCCTGTAGGCGTTCCTTTAGGTGGTCCTGCAGATGGGACTGTAGAGGGTCCATTCCTGTAGACTGTCCTGTAGACTGTCCTGTAGAAGGTTCCATAAACAGTCCTGTAGGATGTCCTGTAGATGGTTCCATAAACAGTCCTGTAGGATGTCCTGTAGATGGTTCCATAAACAGTCCTGTAGGAAGTCCTATAGATGATTCCAAAGAGAGTCCTGTAAATGGTTCCTCAAACAGTCCTGTAGGATGTCCTGTAGATGGTTCCATAAACAGTCCTGCAGATGGTTCCATAAACAGACCTGTAGATGCTTCACACGGACAGTCCTGCGGATGGTTCCATAAACAGTCCTGTAGATGGTTCCACAGACTGTCCTGAAGGAAGTCCTGTAGATGGTTCCACAGACAGTCCTGGAGAAAGTCTTGTAAGTGGTTCCATAGACAGTCCTGTAGGATGTCCAGTAAATGGTTCTACAGTAGATCCTGTTGATGATCTTGTAGACGATCTCAAAGGCGGTCCTGTAGATGGCCCTGAAAAAGGTCCTGTAGAAGATCCTGTAGATCTCTCATGAAGGTCTAGTCTCAGCAGGTCCTACTCCACAGTGGGTCAGGTTTCATTTCTGCAGCTCCATGGGCGTGTTGGATGGGCAGGTTTCTGACGGTTTGTGGAGAATCTTCTTGTGGTTGGCTCTGGACCTGGAGGCCTTACACAGTTTTTCCCAGAGTAGGCGAGGAACCGGTGGACTGAGGATGATGAACAACCAGGGGTCAATGATGGGGTTCATGGACAGTAACAGCAGAGCCGTGAGGTCCATTGCGTGATCTGATGAGCTCATATACACCCGGATCTGCAGAGAGAGAGGACGGCACTGTATCAGAACCTTTTTCAAAAAGGGCTTTTTGGTGCTATATAGAACCATATACATCACTCTCTCCATCAGTCCGAAGAACCATTCCGCCATGCAGAGGGTTCTCTGAGTGTTCGCGGTTCTATATATAGAACAACTGTATTTACCAAAGAACACTTGAAGGACCGTCTTTTATAAGAGAGTACGTGCTGCTCCAGAAGAGCAGAGTGTTTAAGTGACGCTGGGTTGCAGCATTAAAATATCTGCATTTTATTCATTTTATTCTTTTTACTGCATTTGTCACCTTAGAAAGACAAATTCTGGCCAATTCAAAAGGATTGTCATTTATAATTAATTTAAAAACATCATCTGCGCTCACACAGGACCTGCACTTCAGTATACCACATATCCAAAACAAACAGTTTATCCTCTAATTAAGCTCTCCAAAGTGAAGCTCAGTCATCGGAAATGTTCCACACAGCACTTTCCCGTTTGAGAAAGTGCTGAAACAAACAACAATTCAACACGCTAAAGTGAAACTCGAGCAGTAATGAGACACGTACATAAGCACAGATCACCCTTTAATACCGTATAAGAACACACTCAAACAGTTCAGCCTATAATTCAGCTCCCAGAGAAACTCAGAGTGATTCTACTAACACATGTGACCTCACAACTTCTCTACAAAAGGTCTTTCTAATAAAGTGGCCAGTTACTGGAAGCACAAGGTGGGTGTTTCTAATAAAGTGGCCAGTTAGTGGAAGCACAAGGTGGGTGTTTCTAATAAAGTGGCCAATTAGTGGAAGCACAAGGTAGGTCTTTCTAATAAAGTGGCCAGTTAGTGGAAGCACAAGGTGGGTGTTTCTAATAAAGTGGCCAGTTAGTGGAAGCACAAGGTGGGTGTTTCTAATAAAGTGGCCAGTTAGTGGAAGCACAAGGTGGGTGTTTCTAATAAAGTGGCCAGGAAGCACAAGGTATGTGGATGGGCGTGGACTATAGTATTATGCCATTTGTGAAACTCAAACAATCAGTAATCCAGCACTCACGGAACTGAAACTCATAAAGCAGTCTTGTCCAAAGATGCGCATTATATCATCAAACCATTATATGCCGTACTCATGTAACTCATCAAAAATTCAAAATCAGCACTCTCAAGAAAGCCTCATTAATTAGTTTGACATAATAAACATGTACACAGTAGGTACATCTGCTGTATCAGATAAGAAAGTTTCCAAATAAATAAACGTTCAGCTCTCTAAAGTGAAACCTGCAGTAATCTGTCATGAAGATACAGAAAACACAAAAAGGGCCAGTTAGAGGACATACAAGGAAGATGTTTCTAATACAGTGGCCAGTTAAGGGAAGCACAGGGTGGGTGTTTCCAGTAAAGTGGCCAGCAGGTGGACATACAAGGTAGGCGTTTCCAATAAAGTGGCCAGTAAGTGGAAGGTAGGTGGTTTTAATAAAGCGGCCACAGTATGTGGAAGCACAAGATAGGTGTTCCTAAAAATAAAGTGGACATATTATATCTGATCATATTTAATCTGATTATATCTAGGGATAAAACAATGCACATTTTCATGATTAAAGCTATTTTTGATTCTGAGGTTTATGATCGATTAAATTTTTGCATATATGTTAAAATATGGTGACTGTAGTACACTACACAGACTAGAACATATTTCATTTCAAAACAAAACATTGCAAAGCTGTGTGTCCTCATGCAAAACAGTGATCTTATAAACAAGAACTCCTGAACTATGAACTCTACAGAACTACAATTGTATGCAAAGTTAAGGCGCCCCTTGGTCAAATTCCACGTTGCTGTTGATTTTCTAAGCGTAAATAAGTTCACGCATCAATTTAACATACTGGGGGAATAAAACATAAAATGTAGCCTGTGCAAAAGTTATTTTCTATTTTACGTTCCTCCAATATGTTAACATTTCACAAATACATAGAAACTTTGCGATAATGTGCAGGAAGATGCCGTGTGTAGAGAACATGTCGTTTAGAAAGTCTACAAAACATGTCATCTGACCAGTGAGGGTGTTCAGACTGTAGACAGCAGATGCCAGGTGCTATAAACCCACTGTGCCTTATGAGAAAGTGTTCAAACAAGCAATAAGTCATCGCTCTCATGCAGATTAAATAAGTGGTTTTTGAGGAATATAATCACGACACATCACACTGAACCTTACTAATAAACTCAGTTTATCCAGTAACTCAGCAGTGAAACTCTGACTCATCCGTAAACAGAACACTGAGCTGTGTTTAGTTACGAAACTACAGTTCAAACATTCAGCAATGTGAAAGGAAACTAACGCAGTAATTAGTCATGAAGATACACTGCATGTCTCATCATATCACATGGGATCATATGAAGCGTCTGGTTCCAATATGCACTGCATAAATGCAAAATGCAAAAGTCATTTTCATACGCACATTAGATAGCTGCAAGTGAGCTTCAGTAGGTGCTATGCGATGATATATTTGCCACTGTCACCATTTTTAGAGAAAGAGAAATGCATACTTGTGTTAAATGGTGCAATTTATGTATAATATAATACATTTTGTAAGGAAGGGCCCTTTACATGAAGTCTTTTTGTTACAAATGGGCACTGGTTTTTAATAAAACAAGACAAAATCCAAATTTTATGGCGTAAACGGCATAGAATGAACAAAAACATCTAAATCTGCACGGTTAGATGTTCACCTGATCTATAACTATATATAATTTGATCACTTCTGACCTTGGCCTCCCGTTAATTCTTCAGCATAGTAATATTTGTATTTAAATATGAATGGGTTAATGTAATTAATTCAGTCATAAATGACTTTTAAGCCAAATAATTTGTCAAAGTGTGTTCATATTTGTGCTGAAAGAACATATATTTCCAATTTTAAAGGGCCCAAATATGATTTTTTTTCTGTACTTTATTTATTTTCTCTCTCTATGTCTGCCTTTGATAGTTGTGTATGATTAATTTGCCTTTATCCCCATTATTAGCCAAATTAAACATGTTTTTGTTGTGTTAAACAGAGTTTTTATTACAATTTGTGTTTAAAAATCATAATGTATTTTGGAATGAAACTCTCAGATTGTCTATGACATTAATATTGCAACTAATATGATGTATGTGTATAATTCAGGTGAAAATGCAGCACTGCAAAAGTGAAACTCTCTGTAATGTCACATGAGAACAAGATGCTCATCATACTAAACTTCACTGTGATCAGAAAGTGATCAATAGTCAATAATAAATGAAAACTCAGCACGTTATCAATTATGCTTGTATGACGATGAGGAAATTCATGGTCTTGTGACTGCTACACCTAATTTAAATATCTAACAGTATAAGTTAGGTTTCGTTACATTTTGTGTTATTTTCATACTGTTATTCATAATCAAATTTAAATTTGGATCAAAATTTCATCACTTTAATCTCATATGGCATATGGAGAACACAGGCTTCAAAATGTAAAGGGTCCATATCCCACTATTTGTCCTCTGAGCTCCACTCACAACTTTTGTAAATGTTTATGTAACAAAAACAGTTATAATTAATTTTAATGTGATCATTTTTCCAGTCTCTCAAAGCTGTTCCTTTAAGACTGATATATGTATATGAGCTCTGTTCTGATTGGCTGTCCTTTATTATAACTTGTTCAGTTAGCAGTCCGGGCTGAAACACTCCTTATAACTTCAGCATGAAATTCAAAATTCAAAACAGGCTGTTTTTGAAGCTTGGTTTCCATGTATGGACTGTATGTATTTGAACATTTTAAATTTTTGATATGGGACCTTTAATATTTCAGACATGAACATAAATGTGTTAAACGGAAGTCCACCAATTTTTCTAAAATTCTAAATTTAGCTTTTTGCCCACATGGAATTATTGTGAATAAAACTATGACAGTGACATGTAAACATGTATCCTGCATAATTAACTGGTTAAGATGTAAACAGAGTCGTTCAGAGTGGTTTAGTGTGAAACACTCCGTTCTAGAGAAACCTGCCGAGTCAGAACTGTTCACAGTGGTGGTGATAGGAACCGGACGTCCTGATGTCTGAGACATTGTTTTATGATAGTTTTGAAGACTTAAACTCTATTCATGGTGAAACATTCAAAACTCAGAAGACTCGTGTAGGTTCACTGGTGGTTCTGGATAGTAAATAAAATGTCTATATCTGTGTTGTAGTCATGGCGACCCCTGGTTCCTATCACCACCACTGTAAAGACATCTGAACCATTTCACACCAAACCACATAACCTACTTGGGTAGCGTTCCCCTCTGAGCGAGCACTCTCAGAGAAACAGAAAGTGGAAAGTGGGGATGGAGGCCTACCACCAGAGGAAGAGAGCAGATGACGAAGGCGATGGTCATGAAACCGAGCAGCACGAGATGTTCCACCTCCTCGGTGATGGACAGTGACCTCTGACCCCTGGTCCTCCTGAAGGAGCTCCTGATGGCCTTACTCCTGCGGTGCATGAGCAGCAGGTGGTAGATGACCGAAGCGTTGCACAGCACGGTGCACGCGATCATGAGCAGCAGGCACGAGGCGTACACGTTCTTGTACACCTTGTGTCCGAGTTCGTCCGAGTTCGAGTTGAGGTCCAAGAAGCACCAGGTTCCCGGGCAGTACTGCACGTACCTGCCGAAGCCCACGCCAAGGAAGGGCGCGAGGCAAAAGAGCGCGCACACCAGGTACACCACGGGCAGAACCACGTAGCCGCAGCGCACGCTCACACGCCTCTCGTACAGGTAAGGGTGCCCGATGGCCAGCCAGCGCTCCACGGCCATGCAGAGCAGCACGGCCAGCGTCACCAGGCTGAAGAAAGTCATGGAGAAGCCGAAGTGGTTGCACGCCGCGCGGCTGCGGCTCAAACCCAGCATCGAGCGGTTCTGCGCGTACGCGCTGATCACCAGGGGGCTGGCCGAGAAGGTGCCGAGAAGGTCCGTGATGACCAGAGCGGTCACCAGGACCTGGAAGAGCGAGGCGCTGTGCTTCTGCTTCCTTCGCCGGAACTCCAGCAGGACCAGCGCCGCCACGTTCCCCAGCACCCCGGCCGAGAACATCACCGCGGAGGTCTTGGGGGAACCCGAGAGAACCACCTGGAGTTTGGTGCAGTTCGGGCTGGACTCTTCTTTCCACACTTCTGTGCTCGCGCTCTGCTCCCCCACGGACATTAAACGAAGCATCATCACCTCCGCGCGCGACTCTCCATACTACAGTGCTCAGCCCAGCGCGCGCTGGAGTTTCACCCAGAGCGAGCAGAGCTGGAGAAGCGGAGGAGGAGGGGGGAAGGGCGGGGCTTCGGTGGTGATGGGAGGAACGTGGTCTGGAGTTTCTGGGTGTGAGTCACTGGCAGTGTCAGCAGAGAGGATGTTTGATGTCAGTAAAAATCAACAGTTGGTTCAGGGACTTTTATTTTAAAATAAAGGTAAAATTAAATAAAAAAATAAATAAAAATAAAAATGAAATAAGTAGTTTTACAAACTGACCCTAAACGAACATCCGTTACAATAGTACTATTGTTTTATTTTCTATGTGGTGGCTTATTTTATGTGTTTTTATTAGTACTACGATTAATACTCCATTATTGTATTAATATTCTAATATTCTAATCATGACAAATTGTGAAGGCTGACATTATTGATTATTCCTACTAAGTTTATGATTGTATCGCAACTTTATTTGCAAATTTTTCTTCGAGTAAACTTCTTTTTCCATTAATCACTGATCATTTTGCTTGCTTTTAAAAATTATGCTTTAAAAATTCAATTATCTGTCAATGGAATAAGATAATTTTACTTCATAAAATCACCTAAAGCACATAAAAATAGAAATGGGTGGAATATCATAAATATTCTTACAGCAATCTAATGATGAGATAATATTGACTACATTTCATTTTAAATAACGCATTTAGATATTAATAATATTTTTTAAAAAGCAGTAAAATGTATGGCAGTAAAGTTAACACGTAATGTATAATGCAATACCGGCTGCGATGTCTAGCTTTGCCTTGTGGCACTAGCTCCTGCAGAAGGTAACTGCTACCACTCTTCATTATTGTTACCCACAGCATATAATTACACCCAACTCACACAGAGTTAGCGCTTAGCCTAAATCACTAACATAGAGTCTGATTTAAGCACTAACGTTATACTAATTTGTGGAATTTGAAAACTTTCAGCACTTGTTAGCTACATTAGCCTCGTAGCTGCAGTGCTAAAGCTAAAGAAGCAAACTTCAGTCACAGAACTGACCTGCCACTGTTTTGTGTTTGTTTTTCTTGTTTTTTGTATTTTGCATTTTTGTAGTTCTGTGCTGTACACAATGGTTCTTCAAGGATTCTTTAGTAAAGACAGTGGTTATATAGAACCATGAGTTCTATATACAATCATTTCATGCTTAAATGTTTGTTTGTTTTTTTTTTGCATGATGAAAGCGTTCTTCAGAGTGATGGAGAATGTGTTGTATATAGTTCTAAATAGAACCTTTTTGAAAATGGTTATAGAGAAAAGTTTTTCTGTTGTTACAAGCTTGAAATTGTACTTTTTGTAACAATAGCAGAACTCTTTTTGGTGCTATATTTATATATGTAAGCATGGAATGGTTGTATATAGAATTGATCATTCTAAATAGAACCATTGCCCTTAGGAAAAAAAAGAACCATCTATGTTCAGTGTGTAGGTTTGTACTAGCTTATGTATGTCAGCATTTCTATTCCTTTTATGTAAAGGCCACTAAGAAGGAACTACAATGTAAGAATTTTGTTTTACAGTGAAACTTTGACAATAACTAAGAGCTTGAACTAAAAAAACACTTCAGTGGAGAAAAATAAGTTTCCTGTGTAAAAGCTTTAACAATCCACAAACCATTTATTTGTAGTTTTGTTGCAGCTCTGGTATGCACATTTAAAGAAGGGGAAGTTCAGCTTAGGAAATATGGAAGTCATTCCCAGTAAATTCCAGGACAAATATAAACATTAGGGATGAAGCTCTTCCAGAGATGAAAATAACATATTTAATTAAAATCTTCTCAACACTTCTGAAATCTTCTAAAGTCTTTTCAACGCTGATGTCTCTGGTGATCAAGCGTAGCAGTAACAGTAACTCTGCACAATCCAAACACTCCCTCAGAAATTTTGGTATTTTTATGGCCTGTGGTCAAGCCATCCTCTCAATCTAAATTAGCACTTTGTCTCTTCTCATGAGCTCCACTGACACAGCTCCACAAAGAGCCTCGTGCTCACACAATGAAGACATACCAAGTTTTAACTTTTGTTTTTATGAATTTTTATACCATAACTGCAAATTACAACTTCTTTCCTTTTGGACCATCTGAAGGAGATGCAGTTCTACAGAGGGGTGGTGATGAAGTGTCCAGGCCGCTGAAGCTGAGAAGGCCTCTGCAGTTCTACGACATGCAGTTCAATATTGTTTATGTAAGTTACAATGGATTTCATGGCAAATTTTGTTATTACGTAATTGGGCAAAGCTTGAAATAGTCAGTTCACGGTCAATTTATTAGATATGAATTTTTATATGAGTTCATTCTACCCTCAATGGTCTCCCCTTGGCTTGAGTAAAGCTTGATTGTCTTTAAGTAGGCACAACCACTGGTGAGTCATAATTTTTATTAGAAATTTCTATAACTTAACAATAACAACCATTAATAATAATGCTGACTAACAAACATTAGGAGCTAATAGTCTGGTATTTTAAGGGGTTAAAAGAATGAATCCAACAATAGCCTTTGCTAGACATTAGACACATTTGTATTTTACGCTGCGATGCACTGGTGAGTTTTTTGTTTTTACGCTTGAGCAGATTAATTTGCATTATGTTGCAAAAATAGGTTTGCAAACTTTATCTGATATCAGGCCTTGAATGTGGTGGTGCTTTACTGATGCTGCACATGTAGTTAATAATCTGGCACTTTTCTTTATACGTATATGTAACAACTTTAATGATGGAAGGATGGATTAAAGACGGAGAGCTTTTTATTATTATTTATACACAACGCAAAAACCATTTGGCTTTTCAGCCCACAGACACAAAGACAAGACGCTCGCTGGGACTTTTCAGTCCTTTTTTTTCGTTCTAGTTGGGTTGGGCTGGGCTCAGCTTCACGGGTCTCCTTCTCTCTCTGGGCTCTGTCACCTTCTGAAGGAAGAGATGACTAAGTAGGCTGGCAGAAACAAGGCACAGGTGAACATCATCAGCTACTTAGCCCGCTGGTTCAGCCTGACCGGCTTCTCCGTCCTGCATTCGACGCTCGGTCACGCCCCCTTCTCCACAGTATCCAAATATCTCTGTCTGGGAGGGCTCCTCTTTAGCTAACCAGTCACTTGGTAACTGATTACAGACTAACGAATCATAATCTACCAACCACAGGCACTCTTTAAAAAGATGGTTCTTCAAGGGTTCTTTAGTGAAGAAAATGGTTCTATATGTAACTATATAGTTCTTTGCATCATTAAAATGTTCTCCAAATTGATGGACAATGTGCTGGAGATGGTTCTATGTGGAACCTTTTTTTTTAAAAAAAAAGAGTTCTATATAGCACCAAAAGGAGTTCTGCTATAGTTACGGTGTCAAGTTACCAAAAAACCCTTTTTGGTACTATATAGAGCCCTTTTGAAAAAGGTTCTATGTAGAACCATCTACAGCACAATCTCCATCAATCTGAAGAACCATTTTATGATGCAAAAACACTTTAATCATGCAAAGGATACTTTGAGGCTTCATACTTCTGTGTGGAACCATTTTATTTACCAAAGAACCCTTGAAGAACCATTTTCTTTAAGAGTGTAGGATAGCCAATTACTAACTAATTGTGAGCTAAACAATCACAGGCTGAACTAATCATAAGCTGTCCAATCACAGGCTAACCAATTATATATTAGCCATTTACAGGCTAACCAATTGTAGGCAAAATAATTATAGGAAAATCCATCACAGGCTAACTAATCATAAGCTAACCAGTCACAGGCTTATGAATAATTCGCTAACCAATCACAGGCTAACCAGTCACATGCTAACAAATTATGGGAAAACCCATCACAGGCTAAATATATAATAAACTAACCACTCTTAGGCTAACCAGTCACAGGCTAACTCATGGCTAACCAGTCACAGGCTAACTAATCATAGGCTAATCAATCAAAGGCTAACCAATCACAGGCCAGTAACAGACTAACCAACGAATCATAAGCTCATCAATCATAATCTCACCAATCACAGGCTGTTTCATATGGACTTTTCTAGATCGTTTTTCTGTTCACAAAGGAACAGACATCAGCAGTACCGCACTCTATTTAATTGTGTTTTGTTCTTATCATACTTTAAATAGATGCCTTCTGTGGGTTTGTCTATATATAGATTCCTGGATCACTCCCTGAGGGTTGGCAGCTCGACACACGAATAGTATATGATTTATGCTGTCTGACTTCATCACAGCTTAAAGCAAACACAGTATTGCTGAGTTTGCAGGTTCTGAAAATCCCAGTCATTTCTGTTAAATGAGGTTCAGTAAGAGTTAAAGCGTCTTCTTCATTCCTCAGGTGGCCACCAATGGGCTTCTGTCTTCTCAGCCTCCTCCTAAAGAAAATCAATATTTGAAGAGTGGATTCCCTCTAGACTTCCCGGCCATCGCTCCGTTTCTGGTGAATGTTGACACCAATGTGGGGAATGGAGCTGTGTATTACCGCTCGGACGAGTCTCTGAGCGCACTGACCCGAGCAGCTCAGATTGTCCAGCAGGGCTTCCCTGGAATTCACTTTAGACCCACTCAACTGCTCATCACCACATGGGATCATGTAGCATGCTTCAACAGAGATCCTGAGAAAGGGTACTGGGTAAGAGCAGCTACTATAGCATATTCCTTTATATACATATACATATATACATACAGTAAGTAACTGTTTTCAGTAATATAAAACAGATAAAGAATAAAATGATTGCACAATAATGCTTAGGCCTCATGTGACAGTGTTCCACTGCTCCATTTAATGACGTATTTTGATAGATTTGGTTATGAATCATCTGCATCCTGTGAAGCTCATCTTTTGATCTTATCTCCTCCATCTGCTCTGTTGTCTCCACTGCTGCTGCATGTAGGTGAGCAGTTTTCAGCTAGTTTTGGCAGGAAATAAGACCGACACCTTCGCCCTGCTCCTGTACGCCGATGATGGGCTGCAATTTTCTGATGACGTTATGGGTTCGGAGGCTGAGCTCAGGGTTCTTGCAGGCTTTAGCAGGGGAGACACATCCAACACCAAGGAGCTCTACCACAGTGTGCACACCTCACAGGAAAACGCCCACACACTCTTTCAGTGAGTTCCTAAAGAGTCACATTTATCATCGGCGAAGTGTGACTATTAGAGCATAAATGTGAGAATATGATCAAAAAGCAGGAAAAAAACACCTCCACAAACATGCTCGTTTCTAAATTCTAGTAGGATGTCAGTGCTAAGCTAATGATTATTCACATGACCATTTTTTTGGTTTATATTAAACAGACATTTAAATTTTGTAACAGACATTATCATATATCTCAGCTTGTATGTATCAGTGTTACAGTGACTCTTTCAGTAAAGAGTCCTGCATAGAGCTGCTGCTCCTGTTTAACATTCCTAACAACTAACCGGAACACTGCTTAGACTATGACCCGTGTTCACACTCAGTGACGTATCTAGAACTTCCAGAGGGACTAGAGTGATGTTCTCATAAAATTGGTCCCCTTGTAAATCAAAACATTATTGGTTGACCCCTCTGTCACTTTGTAATTATGCTCATAGGTTATCTAACATGTTAGGACTTCTCTTCAGCTCCTGAAGTCCTAACCAATAGGAGAGCTCACCTAGCTATATCTACATAGATACCGCTGGGAAAACAACACTGATTGGCCAATTTTCTGCTGAGAGATTCAAGAATTTAACCCTTTTGTTTCCAACCAAAAACTTAATAAAAATAATAATAGTATTTATTATTATTATTGTTACATGGATGAACAGAGAGAAGAACTGTAGGACAGCAAGAACAATATGATGAACAAAAGAAATTCAGATGCAGGAAAAGACTAATTTATATTATTGTGCTTATATAATTTATAAAAAATTAATAATTTTGCTATTACTATTTAAAGTTCCAGGAAACACAGAGTAAAATATATTTATATGATTCTAAACTTGATTTTATTTTAAACAGCTAACAAAGCTTGAATAAAAAATATAAGATATACATATAATAAAACAGGTTTAAACAGCTGATCAGACCTATCTGAGAGCTGTGTGGGCATAGCTAATGAGCAGCTTGATTGACAGCTCTCTGTCCAACACTCCTCGCTCTGCCCCTCATACAGAACTAAAATCATTATCCAGCTTTTATGTGACACCAACTGAACGACAAAAGTCACAGACAAACAGATGGACGAATGAACAGTGTTTGTGTTGGACAAACGAGTGAACAGGCGACAGGCAGCTATAGACAGGTGGGCTAGCTTGCTAGCGTCTGGTTATGCTGGGTTAGCTTTAGCTTGCTAAGCTTCTCTGACTCTGAAACAGGTCTGTGTGGGCGGGGCCAGAGACGCAGCCCTGTGATTGGTCAGGGGAGTGCCTATAGAAGCATTACCCAACATTAGGACCCAGTTTACATCGAGGGGAGAGAAATATGGTGAAATATATTGGTTATTTATTGGTCATAACATTATTCAAAGGTGAACTTAGCACATGTTTACCGTTATTTTTTTAGTTTGTTTCTTCTCATTATGAGTTGTTTATGACCTGCAGGGAGGGCAACTCGGGCGTTAGCGGGCTGTGGATTTTCCACGTTGGAAGCAGCCGGTTCCCCTTCCAGAAGGTGGTGGGTGCGGTGGGGCCACGGGCAGAGGGCACTGAGGAACCTGTCACTACAGCAACCAGCCAGAACTTTAATATCCCAGAAGACCTCGCTGTCACAGCCAGTCCTGTTTCTGGAGGCGTCCAGGCCTCAGCGCCCCCAGGAAACGTCAGCCTGTGCGGCTCCATCCTGCAGGAGTGCTCCCCGGATGGCTACTGCACCGACCACCCCACCGGACCCTGCTGCCGCTGCCGCTCCAGTTACTACGGAAATGGCAGGCAGTGTTTACCCATGGGTGAGTTTGAGAAAGGTCATGATAAATGTTTTCCCCTTAGAGACCTCCAGATCTAGCCTGATGGAGAACTTTCTGTTGGGGTTAAACTTTTAAACTAGTTAATTTCCCTAAATTTCTGAGCTTATTACGGGAAAATTCCACCAATTTTCTTTTTTTTCTTTTTTTGATCAAGAATTTTTATTGTTTCAACAACAAGGGGATGGGGAGCAACAGACAAAAAAAAAGAGACATGGACAGCAAGAATGATCATAGGTACAACATCACAAAATTAAATAAGGGAGGAAGTGTCCATATTCAATGCATACCTTGCAGGAAATCCATATACGTAACACAAAGGTTTGCCATGTTTCAACAGTCATGGGCTTAGCATGGTTAAGTCGCGCAGCCGTACATTCAAGTTGCTATGTTAAGTAAATTATGTTAAGAAAATTAACAGCCCAGAATGATTCCAAGTGAAGTCCAGGTGTGATCCAGTTTTGTAGGATTGTCTTTTTAGCAGCAGTAAATCCAGAAAACAATAGTTTACTCTGTATAACCTTTAACCCTATATTGGAGTTGTCATTCAGGAGACACAAACATGGGTCATAATTCTATTCAATTTCCAGTAAGTCAGACAACACTGAATTGACATATTTCCAGAATTTTTTAATCAAGGGGCATTCCCAGAACGTATGTAAAAATGTACCGGGAGCAGTGTTAGTACATATATGACAATAATGGGTAGTTTGGTGCTTCGTTTTAAATCTTCTATACGGTGTCAGGTATGCTTTATGAATAACCTTAAAATGAATAAGTTGATGTGCTGGATTTTTGGAAGTTCTGTTAAGATTAGACCAAATAGTTCTCCATTCTGGAGTATAATTTAAGGCAGCAAGCTCCCTGTTCCATAATGCAGTAACAAAAAGAGGTTTCATAGTAGCTTCAATCAACTTACGATAGATCCTGACTACACATCCTTTCCTCCAAAGGATGTGTAGCCAGGATCTATTGTAAGTTGACTGAAGCATATATGGTTGGATCTAATCCACCATTGGATAAGCAGCTATAGGAAAGCCCCATGGAACCCCATAGGCTTTAAGCACTGATCTTAATTGCAAATACACAAAGTAAGCTGGTAGACAAAATGTAATCTTTAAGGTCTCAAAAGAGTGAAAACCTCCATCGTCATAAAGATCACCACGAACATTAACACCCCTAGAAGACCAAGAAAGTTGAGTAAAAGGTTGTACCCCTCTTAAGAGATTATAATTCTCTGCCATAATGGAGTAGATGACAGAGATTGAAAGGGCCTCCCATGAGTCTTTCTATATGGGCCCTTGAGGGAATGTGCAACAATATAGCCGAATTTCAAATCAAGATTTTTAAAACCAGTACTTGTAAATAACAAATCTTGTAATCGGTGTGGCCTTACTAAAGAAGATTCAATAGTCCTCCATGGGATTTTGGATTCTATGTCAAGCCAGGACCGCAATGCTCTTATTTGAAAAGACATAAAGTAAAATTTAAAATTTGGTACAGCTAAGCCACCCAAGGATTTTGGCAGCGGCAATGTCGCTAGCTTAATTCTCGGACGCCTATTTATTCCATATAAATTTTGAAACCAATATCAATATCAGCAAAATATTTTGGGGGAGGGGGGAGTAGTAGCATAAAGAACAGGAAATTCAGCCAGGGCAACACATTCATCTTGACTGCTGCAATTCGACCTTGGAGGGACACTTTAAGGCTATTCCACCTTTCCATATCACGATTGATCCTACTTAGTGTACCAATAAAGTTTTCTCTGGCTGATTTATAGATATCAGGATAAATATCAATGCCAAGGTAGGTGAATGAATCCTTAACTGGAATTACTGAAGGGATAGTAGCAGTTTTGCACAGTTTATTTAGTGGCATTAAAACTGATTTAGAACAGTTGATCTTGAACCCTGAAATGCTATTGAATACATCAAATTCCTTCATTACAAGTTGAATGGAGACATCCACGTTGTCTAAAAACAGAGGAATGTCATTGGCATAAAGCGAAATAAAGTTGCTGTGACCTTGAATTTTGATAGGATATATTGAGGATTGTCGAATAGCTTGTGCTAAAGGTTCTAAAGACAGACAGAATAAATGGGGAGAGATTGGACACCCTTGTCTGGTCCTGCGCTCTAGCTGAAATGCAGGGGATATTACATTGTTGGTTAATACTGATGCTGCGGGAGAATGATACAGTGTTCGCAGCATTGAAATAAACATTGTACCAAACCCAAAACGTTCAAGGACTTCCCACATATAACTCCACTCAAGCCTATCAAAGGCTTTCTCCGCACCCAAAGAGTGCACTGCACAAGAGCTAGGAAATGTAGGTGCAGTGTCCAAAATATGAAATAATCTCCAAATATTATCTGAGGCAAGACGTCCCTTTATGAACCCAGTTTGGACTTCCCTTATTAAAGCAGGTACCATAGTTTCCAATCGTAAAGAGAGAACCTTTAATTTGATGTCGCTACAAATAAGAGAGAGAGGCCTGTAACTTGAATATTGTAATGAGTCTTTTCCTTTTTTCAACATGAGCGATATTAATGCAGTTTTCTGATCCCTATGAAAACTCCCAGAATCAATAGCGAAATGAAAGGAATCCAGTATAAGAGGTCCCACTAAATCCCAAAGTTCCAAATATAACTCGGGTGGTAAGCCATCCAGACCTGGCGATTTACTCTTCTGGAGGCACTTTACAGCTTTGTGTAATTCCTCCAATTCCAGGGGGGCATCAAGGAGGTCCTTATCCGAATGCGAAATAACTGGAAGCTGTAACTCATTTAGAAATGTTTTACATCAGGATGCATCAAAAACTGTCTCAGATTTGTATAAATTGGTATAAAATGCTTTGAACGTCCTATTAATACCTGAAGGATCAGTGACTAGTTGATCGTCTGAGTTCATAACTCCATTGATGTAAGCCTTAGTTTCACATTCCTTTAATCTAAGAGCTAGTAAATGGCTAGGCCTCTCTGCATCAAGGTAATACTTACGTCTTGTTCTATGCAAAAAAAAATTCAGCTTTGGAAATCGATAAAAGCTTATGTTCTTCCTTTAAAGACCTCAGGATGACCATTTGATCCTCTGAAAAACACTGTTTTTGCAAATTTTCTAATGATTTAATCTTGTTTTCTAAATCATTATGGTGCTGCTTCTGTAATTTCGAAAGAGTGAAGGAGAATGATACACAAAAACCCCTAATAAAGCACTTGGTTGCCTCCCTTAGCATTTATGGATTACTCCTGTTAGGTTTGTTAGTAGATATGAAAACCTGTAACTCAGCTTTGAATGAGCTAAGAAACTTTGAGTTAGTCAGAAATGAGCTATTGAAGCGCGATTTGGGAGCCTTGATCATTTCAGGGAGGAGAAAACTGCATAACACAGCTGAATGGTCAGACAGTAAGATTGGCAAGATTGTAATAGAGACCTCTGTTGAGACAAGGGAAGGACTAACAAAAATATAATCGATCCTGGAATAAGACTTATGTCTGTGTGAGTAAAATGTATATTCTATAAGTGTATTATTTTTAAAACGCCATAAATCAATAATATCAAGGTCTTGAACAAATTGATTCAGAAGTCTGGAAGATAGTGGGATATGAGTATCAGGGCAAGATTTATCCAGCTTAGGATTCATCACAGCATTAAAGTCGCCACCAACCAAAAGGTGAGAATCAGATAACTCCAATAGAATATTGCGAAGTCCATTTAAAAACCCCCTACCTGACTCTTTGGGGCAATACACTGAAGCCAAAACCAGCCGGACTGTGCCCAATCTGACTTTTGTAAGAGCGAATCTACCTTCATCATTCCTCATATGGTCAATGGATAAGGGCAGCCTCCTCTCAACCAGTATTGCTACACCTTTAGTTCTGTTGGGAGCAGATGAAGAAACAGCAACCTTATAGTATTTATTTTGAAAGTGAAATACATCAGTGTTTTAAGTGTGTCTCCTGTATTAGAGCTTTCGAGACAGATTTTCGATGTAAATATTCCAGAACTCTTGTTCATTTCACTGCTGAATTAAGCCCATTTACGTTAAGTGACAACACATTAAAGGGTAACTTTGCCATCTTAAACACTATATGCAACTGTCAGTTTATAAAAGAAAGGCAAAAAAAAATGGAGTAGAAATAATTCCTCCAACAGAAACAGACAAGGAGGGAAAAGTGACATTGATGCACCCACAATCACATAGCTGACGCATTCTAAAAGAGTTTGAAGTCTGTTGCTGGGGGGAGGAGGGAAACTATATAACACAAAAAGAGCACAGACCGCACAGAAGCTAATTCTATAGGTCTGTGGAAAAACAAAAATATGTACTGATCCGTGGCATGTCCGCAACCCACAGTAACTGAGATCAACTCACACATCCCACAAAAACAGAAGGTTCAATACCAATGACCAGTCTTGCTTCCATTTTAACCAGCTTGTGATCAAACAACACAAACGTGCCTTTATGGTTCGTGCTTCACACCTTATAAAAGTAAGTAAGTTTACAAGTTCAAATTGTAAAATCAGAGGGGTCAGAGAGAGGTGAACCAACAAAACAGCAAAAAGTTCAACCGATAGACACTTAACTTTCATCCATATCTCCCACACGTTTGCCAGCTGCTGTCTGCGGTCCGGTCGCAATCAAACTAGAATCTTGTTCCTGATCATTGATGCAGCGCTGTGTTGATTCTGACTGGATTTCCCGCCGTGATTGCATTTAAACAAAGTTCTCCGCTTTAGGGGGGCTGTCAAACATCATCATTTTTCCATTGTGCTGCAACTTCACCGTTGCAGGGTAAAGAAGGAAAGGGTGCAGGCCCATCCATCCATCATCTAAACCGCTTATCCTTCTGGGTCGCAGTGGGGTGCTGGAACCTATCCCAGCTGTCATTGGGCGGAAGGCAGGATACACCCTGGACAGGTCGCCAGTCCATCGCAGGGCAGACAGACAGACATACGCAGTCACACACACTCTCACACCTAGGGGCAATTTAGCCCCCAGTGTCCAATTGGCCTGACTGCATGTCTTTGGACTGTGGGAGGAAACCGGAGTACCCGGAGGAAACCCACGCAGACACGGGGAGAACAGGCAAACTCCACACAGAAACGACCCTGGTCGCCCAGCCAGGGAATCGAACCCAGGCCATTCTTGCTGTGAGGCGACAGCGCTACCCACTGTGCCACCGTGCCGCCCGGGTGCAGGCCCATAGCGACCGTTTTCTTAATGACTGGATTAAAGCTCTTTCTTTTCTCCGTTGTTGCTGGGCTGAAGTCAGGGAAATACAGTAGCGTATTTTGCGCATGCTTCGCTGGATATGCCTTTCGAGCTCCATTGAGAATGGCCTCTCTATCCTGCCATCTTAAGACCCTTAAAATGAGGATACGTGGTCGACCGGTGTCGTTCTCTCTACCGTCATATACATGATGTGCACGGTCGATTTCAATGTCCCGGCCTTTCAGCGTTTGAATCCAGTTGGAGATATTGGCACGAAGATAGCCTGCCACATCTGAACCTTCCACTGCTTCTGGTAGAAACACCAATCTTATGTTATTCCTTCGGCTTCTATCTTCCAGGTCCGTCATCTTGTCGGTGAGTTTATCTATTTGCCTTCTTAGCTCTGCAACCGCACATCTGTCTTCTCTTGCCGCAGCCTGAATAAAATCCACTCTATCACGGGTCTGTTTAACTGCTCTAGCCTGTAGCTCGAGTTCAGAGCTCAAAGTCTGCATAGCCTCGTTAGTTTTCTGCAAGCTCACTTGAATATCGCGCAACCCAGGAGGCATAGCCGAGTCCACAGCCTCCCTAACCGCTGCAGCGACAGCTGAATCAAGCGTAGCTCGTTCTTCATTAGGAGCTAGCCTAATACCGTTATCGCAGCATCGTTCTCTTCTTTAGAGATGAATCTTTGAATTCTTTCTTCATAGGTGAGTGCGCACCGTCTCTTTTCCTGATCTCCATGTGGTCTTAAGTATCAGTAATGCAGTAAATGAAACAAGTCCGTTATTTTGTCAGGATGGATGAAAGATTGTGGATTTGTGAGCAGAGCTCAAGACTTAACGTGCATGGCCACCGAGAGGTCACGTGACCCCCAAAATTCCACCAATTTTCTGAAATTTTTGCATAATATAATGGTTGAGTTGATTCATTCAGAGAGATTCAGAGTGGTTTGGCGTGAGATGGTTCAGATTTCTTTACAGTGGTGGTGATACGAACCAGGGGTCACCATGACTACAACACAAATACAGACATTTTATTTACTATCCAGAATCACCAGTGAACCTACACGAGTCTAATGAGTTTTATATGGAATGTTGGTGATGGGAAAATAGTGGAAAATCTGAAATAATAAGTTTTCGTTGGGGACTATTTTGCCTCATAACAGCCTGCATATTATGTACCCCTCCACCATGAATGGATTTATAGGCCGCAGTCTTCTCAAAACTACCGTAACTAAACTACTGTGAGGGAGCTTTTAGAGGTGGACGTCTGGTTCCTGTCATCATCACTGTGAACAATTCTGACTCGGTACTATTCTCTAAACCACTCTGAACGATTCAGTTTACATCTTAACCACTTTAATTATGCAGAAATTTCCTCTTTAAATCTAAAAATCTGAGGGTAATATTTTACTTTTACTCATTTATTTACTCATTTATACTTATGTATGTATAAGGTTCTCTGCAGTGACTGATGTGTATTTGTGGTTCCTGCAGGTGTATCTCAGCGTCTGAACGGTCAGCTGAGCGGTCATGTGTCTGTAGGAGCCGCTGATGTTCAGCTGGACCGGGTGGATGTGCACGGCTATGCTGTTCCGGGGGAAGGCCGAGTTTATATCTCCATCAGCCCCGTTCCTCCGCAGGCTGGCTGGGCTCTCATGGCCGTCGGCCCGCTGCTCTCCACATTTGGCTGGCTGTTCGCCCTTGAGCTACACGGCCATCAGAACGGCTTCAGTGTCACTGGTCAGACTGAGCTTCTCCTTTTTAAAGTGATATTTCAGGGAAAAATCATCCAAAACATGTTTGGTCCTTCTTTTGTTTGAGAACATTTAATATTGTGCAGTTGTCTTGAAGCTACAACTCTTTTCCCAGGCGCTGAGTTCTCACACCAGGCAGAAATGACCTTCTATCCAGGAAACCAGCGCCTGAACATCACTCAGCAGGCTCGAGGTCTAGACTCTCTCAACCACCTGAAAATGGAGATAAACATCAAAGGAAACCTACCAAGCATTCCCAGTGGAGCTAAAGTTCAGTTTCAGCCTTATACGGAGACGCTTCATTATAATCAGTCAGGTAATTCTGATCAATAAGAGTTGTACACCTGTGGATAAGATCCATCAGTGGAAAGGAACAGTAGACACTGAACAATTCATACTAGATGCTGAATAATTCATAGCAGATGCTGAATAATTCATAGCAGATGCTGAATAATTCATAGCAGATGCTGAATTGTGAATTGTGTATGTCTCAGTAAGATCCACTTTGGTTAAAAAAGTTTGTTTTTTGTGTTTCAGTGATAACGTCATCCAGCTTGCATCAGTACATGGTGGTGTCAGAAAACGGTGGGTCTGAGATGTTCTCCTACCTGCTTCATCAGAACATCAGTTTTCAGAGGTGTGAACATAGTCGATTGACCATCCCTGACTTCCAGCAATTGGATGTGGTGCATGTGATGGTGATGTACACCAGCGAAGGAAGAATTCTCAAATATGCCATTGTTAACACTGTGGGACCTGTGGGAGGTAAACCTTAAAGTATACCTTCAGTATCTCCTATGAATGATTCAGTATTGCATATGAATTATTAGGTATCTACTCTGAATTATTCAGCATCTACTATGAATTATTGAGTATCTCCTATGAATTATTCAGTATCTGTTATGAATTATTCAGTGTCTACTATGAAAGTAAGGTGTGGGTTCTGTTGTTTTGAGAGTGAGGAACTGAAGGGTCGTCCAGACCTGTAGAGTTTAAAGGGTTAATAGAGTTTTCTGCTGATGGTAAGTCACTGTGAGATGTCAATCACACTGTTTTTAAGGTAGTGCAGATGACGTTAAGTGAAACTGTATGTGGTCAGGTGAGCTCCCGGGACTGATGGAGTTGAACCCGTGTCGATCAGGGAAGCATTACTGTGACCCCATGGCCCTGTGTCTGCCTGGGGAGGGGCTGCAGTACCACTGCCAGTGTGCCATGGGCTTCAGAGGGGACGGCAGGAACTGCTACGGTAAACATGCACTTATTATTAATTTCACTTTAGACCAATCACAAACTGTAATCACTGTGGAGCGGTTGTTTGAGGGTGTTTCTCTATGGTTACCTGTGTTAGTTATCTCTCATTTTATTTTCTACTGATTTAAGCTTCTAAAGGATGGCCCAGCCCTCTTAAAGGAACGTTCAGGTGAAAAATCGAAATTACACAGTTTTCCATTTATCCCTAGATGTAGTTGATCAGCTAAAACATGTTTGGTGTCCAAGCTGAGCTTCTTTAGTTTTAGCGTTAGAGCTGTGAAGCTAACGTAAGTAAGTCCTAAACTACATCTACAAATGTGCCACCTTAATGTAAAGCTGGATGCGGTTTGAGCGGATTGAGAGAAGCTTTGGTGATGAATTTAGAGAAAAGATTTGGGTAACTGTTGACTTCTAGTGTTAGTTAGCAACGTTAGCCTCGTAGCTCCCGCGCTAAACTGAAAAAAGCTGAAACAGAAAAGTCGTCTTGGAAACTTTCAAATTAAAACAAATAAATTTTGTTGTCACATCATCTTTACACAGGTGTCAAAAACAGACATACTATTGCACTGTACTTATACAAATATACAGATATACAGATATGAATATACAGCATATATACATTATCATGCACAGTATGTGCACTATCAAATCACTGAACATGCAGATATAAACTATATCAACTATGTAAAGATCCATGTTACACCATACACCAGTACAATTGCTTTGTTTATTACAAAGTATGCAAAATGCGAGTTATTTAAATACTGTGGTACATGAAGGTTTTTACCCATCTTCACACCTGTGTAAATGTGACATGACAATAAAAATTATTTGATTTGAATGTTGTTACTAAAAGTCAAGTCACCCAAGTATTTACGTTCATGATGTCTGTTGTTGTAAATGTATATCTTTAGTTGAAAAAGATTCAAGATCAAAGACAACAAAAAAGCAAACGACAAAAATTGCAAACTTAAATTGTAGTATTATGATTACATGATGTGTGTGAGTGTGGAGGGGGTTGGTTTCTGCAGAGGATTGGAATTTGGCACCTGCTGGTCTACAGTGGCAGCGTACAGCTGCACGGTGAAGTTTAGTTGATGTTTGTAGCTCACAATGAGTCACACTGTGTCCTAAACCACATCAATAAGCCTGCATCACCTTAATGAAGACCTGGAAGTGGTTTGAGTGGGCCAAGAGAAGTTTTGGGGGTGTTGCAGAAAACATTTCGGTGGCTGTTGACTTTGTGTTTGTTACCAATGTTAGCCTTGTAGCTCTTGTGCTAATCTAAAGCAGCTTTGGAAGCAAATCTTGATCGACAACACTTGGGGTAAGTGGGAAAATGTCTAAATTAAATTTGTTTTGCAGATGCTGAAATATGGGTAATACTACTGAATCAGTAAGAAGAAATAGTATACAATTGTATATAATTATATGTGTGAATAGCATGATGTTATTTTGAATATAATGCTAGTGTAAATAATATGTGCTATTTACACTAATACACACATTAAAGTATTTCTTTAATGTGCGCACTGGATGAATCCTGATCTCTCTATGTTGGTGTGCTGAGATGTGGACGAGTGCTCTGAGGGTCTGAGCTCCTGCGGTCCTCATTCCGAGTGCGTGAACATGCCCGGCAGCCACCACTGTCTCTGTGAAACCGGCTATGGGTTTGACTTCGACTGGAGAGCCTGTGTGGGTGAGTGTGCAGCGCACCAACTACAACACACACTGCTGTGAAACAGAGAAACACTAACGCAGAGAGCACTGCTGGGGGAAATAAACACATAATACTGAAGCTGCTCCATGGCCACGTACGTCAGACACTTGAAAAAAACTGAAAATCTGTGGGACGAAGAGTAAAAAAGCCTTTTAACGTCATTTTTGGCTTGAGCCTTCATCAGGGAGATTCACAACACCAGCTCCATCCAGGTGCTCTGAATACCTTCAGTTAAGTAGTCACATGAGTTTGGATGTCTGAGGCTGTGTCTCGATTTGCTCAGAAGTTTTGTATGTAGTGAATCAGTACATAGTGAATGCCAATTCAGGCACTGGCTCGGTCCCTGGAGGTAGGAACAATGGGAGATTGATGACTCGATTAAGTGTCCCAGATAGCGAGCATATAACGGTCTGCTGGCTCGATAAGGTTGGCACCCCGCCCGCTGTCACTCTTGAGATAAAGCGCTCCTGCTGCTGCTGCTGCTCAGTCTGGATACTGCAGCTGTGCATTTCAGCCAGCATCATCATGGTTCTTCAAGGGTTCTTTAGTAACAGAAATAGTTCTATATATAATAATTAACACTCAAAGAACCCTTTACATGATTAAATGCTTCTTTGCATGGTGAAATAGTTCTTCAAATTGATGGTTCTATATAGAACCTTTTTTTTTTTAAATGGTTCTACATAGCACCCAAAAGGGTTCTTTTGACACTGTAACAATAGAAGAACCCTTTTGGGTGCTATATAGAAGCCTTATCAAAAAGGTTACATATAGAACTATCAATCAGAAGATCCCTTTCATAATGCAAAAAACCCTGTAATCATACAAATGGTTCTTTGAGTGTTCATGTTTCTGTATAGAACCATTTTCTTTGCAAAGGAACCATCTTTTTAAAGAGTGAACTACCACTACTGATAAGAATTATAATTTTATTACATTGCAAAAAGGCGTACAGCTGCATGGTGAAGTTGTTTGTCGCTTCTGGTCCACTCTCGGACCCCCCAGATTACTGTCCTGCATTCAGGCTCTACCTAGTTTTTAATCTCAAACAGATTTTATATGCACAGAGCCTTTTATTTTAGAAAATAAAATGTTGCTGACACTGTGCTAGATTGAAATTATTTACTATTTTTTTCTTTGAGACATATAGTGATTCGCAAATGTCACAGTACAAAACAACAGTGCAAAAGGAGCAAACAGTAAAGTGAACAACTAGAAAAAAGTAAACATACAGAAATGGCAACCGATACCAAATTTATGTAAAAGGTCACAAAGTGAATGTCTGTAAAGATTCTGACAGCCTTATATAATGCTGTGAAAAAGTATTTGTCCCCTTCCCAATTTCTTCTATTTCATGTATAGATATTTGTCACACTTGTGTTTCAGATCATCAAACTACTTTTAATATTAGACATTGATAACATTGAGTAAACACAAAATGGTGTTTTTAAATGATGATTTCATTTATTGAAGGAAAAATGCTGTTCAGCCCTACCTAGTCCTGTGTGAAAAAGTAATGGCCCCCTTAGTTACTAAATCAACCAGTTAACCAAATTCAATTGATTATTGGGTTCAATTTCACTGACCACACCCAGGCATGATTAGTGCCAGACCTGCTGAATCTAAACATGAATGGCTCAGAAGAAACAAAATTAAGGTTTTGGAGTGGCCCAGTCACAGTCCTGACTTGAATCCCATTTCAAGACCTTAAACAGTCAGTTTGTGCTCAAAAGCCCTCCAGTGAATTAAAACAATTCTGCAAAGAAGAGTGGGCCAAAATTCCTCTACAGTGATGTAAAAAACTTAACGCAAGTTATCACAGTCGTTTGATCGCAGTCGTTCCAGCCAAGGGTCACACACCCAGTTATTAGGTTTTGGGGGACAGTTTCCTTTTCACAGAAATCTTTATCTTCAATACATGGAATGTTTATTTATAAGCTGAAATTTGCATTTACTCATTGTCTTTATCTGATATTAAAATGGGTTGGATGATAAACATTTAAATATTACAAATGAGCAAAAATAGAAGAAATGAGATGAGGGTCAAATACTTTTTCACAGCAGCTGTATAACGTGTGTTTCCCTGAATTACACATTATACAATGTTAGTGAGGTCTACATCAGTCTTCGCAGCTCCAGTGCTGAAGCTATCACTCTAGAAGAAGATAATGGTTCTACACTCAAAGAACCCTGTGGATAATTAATGTGTTGTATATTGTTCTGTTAGAAATTATAAAGGTTCTGTGGAGCTACATTTTTTTTCGTTCATCAAGGTACAAAGGTGTAAATGTTCCCTCAAAGGTACAACAGTGGTTTTAAGGTCCAACTGTGCACCTTAAATAAGTTTTTCCAGGTGAAAAGTTTGTATTTGTACATTTTCATAACCAAATGTTTTAAAACAGAACAAATTCAGTCATAACTCTGGCTGTTAGGACAGGGTGTTCTCTGCTGGCTAAATGAGCGTGACTCTCCCTGCATGGTAACACTCCTCGTTCACACCCATCCCTAAAGATAAATGTTTAATGTCAAAACAAAATCAAAACTCAGACTCCTCCCTTCCGCCGTGCTCAGGCTGTCAACAACATCCCCTGCCCGCTGTCACTCTTGAGATAAAGCGCTCCTGCTGCTGCTGCTCAGTCTGCAGCTGTGCATTTCAGCCAACATCATCATGGTTCTTCAAGGGTTCTTTAGTAACAGAAATAGTTCTATATATACTAATTAACACTCAAAGAACCCTTTACATGATTAAATGCTTCTTTGCATGGTGAAATAGTTCTTCAATTGATAGTTCTATATAGAACCTTTTTTTAAATGGTTCTACATAGCACCCAAAAGGGTTCTTTTGACACTGTAGCCTTATCAAAAAGGTTACGTATAGAACCGTCTGTAGCACATTCATGCACATTCTCTATCAATCTGAAGATCCCTTTCATAATGCAAAAAACCCTGTAATCATACAAATGGTTCTTTGAGTGTTCATGTTTCTGTATAGAACCATTTTCTTTGCAAAGGAACCATCTTTTTAAAGAGTGAACTACCACTACTGATAAGAATTATAATTTTATTACACTGCAAAAAATGGCAAGTGTAATGGTTTGATATCTAGTCAATATATATATAATTGTCCCATGTTGAGACTGTTTTAAGCTTATTGTGAGATTCTTTAAGTTATTTTATTTGTTTTTTCTTGTTTTTAGTACCTTTAGTGTGTAAATATTATCTCACTTTGTTGTCATACTTTTATTGCAAGCATATTTCTCACAATAAACAAAATTATCTGCCAGTACAGTGAGATTGTCTTGTCAATTTGTCTAATATTCACTTTAATATTTATAATTTCATTCTAATATTTCTCCATTAAGCTTATTATATGATAATGTAACTTACTTTTAGATATTTTACCTGTTTTAACCCTTGTGTGGTGTTGCGGTGTGTGAGATCCATTTTTAATATTTACCAAAATAAAAAATTATGCAACTTATTATTATTTAAATCTCAGATTCCTTGGAGTTCGCTCATTTTCTGTGAAGAACAAATAAAATAACACATTTTCATTGGCCTCACACTGTACAGCCCCTACACATTTATATTACACATGTGGTGTTGTGGTGAACCCACTGGGAACAAAAGTGTGGAGGTTCTGTGTCCCTTTACTCTGTTCTCCTCCTACATAGCCTGCTGTTAGTGTGTGTGTATGTGTGTGTATGTGTTTGTATATGTGTGTGCGGGTGGACAACATGCTGCTGACTGGCTACAGCTGCTAAAGGAGAACCCTATGCTGGTCACTTGTGATATTTTAAACATCTGGTATTTTTACATACATTGTTATGGCTATGATTTAAAAAAACAATAGTGTGGTGGGTCCACCAGAAGACTGAGTAACAAAAACATGAACACCACACAAGAGTTAAGTGATTTTAGTAAGTCAAATGATCTCACTGTGTTGGTCGATAATTTTGCTTGCTGTAAAAAATTTGTTTGAAACAAACAAAATTGTCTTTTTTTACACACTAACGCTACTAAAACAAGTATAAAACATCTAGAAATAAGTACAGTAATCTTATAATAAGATTAAAACATCCAAAAATGAGAAATATTTGATGTATCAGCTAGATTTAAGGTAATTTCACTTGCTAAGAGTGTAGCAGTAATAAGATAAATGTGTAAAGTGTTTAATAAACATTTCAGCACATTTAATCCATTCTGTCTCCAAAATCATCTCCGTCTTTAGGTGTCAAAAATGACACACTATGACACTAACAGTCTAATATGCATCATTAGAGTCTCATTTAACTTTTTGAACTCTAGGATTATTATTCAGCATCTACTATGAGTTATTTAGTGTTTACTGTGAATTATTCAATATTTGCTATGAATTGTTCAGAGTTTGGTATGAATTAATCAGTGTCTACTATGAATTGTTCAGCATCTACTATGAATTATTTAGTAATTACTATGAGTTATTTACTATCTATTATGAATTATTCAGTATTTGCTATGAATTTTGTGAGGTGAGGTTGCGTGGACCCACAAACCGACCTTTTTAAGTGCTTTTAAATATGTTTAATAGGTTTAAGTGGTATATATGTGTATATATAATTTTATAGTTGTGTGAAGCAGATATTTGTATAACTCTGAAATTCTGTGTTGTTATGATACAGATATTGATGAGTGTTTGCTGAAGCTGTGTCACCCTCTGGCCTCCTGCTCCAACACGCTCGGCTCCTTCCACTGCCGCTGCTGGCCTGGCTACGAGGGGGACGGTTTCCTGTGCCAACCGCAGAGTAAAGATTAACTCTTTATCAGGACACACTCAGCTTTTCCTGCCCTCATTCTGCACTGCTGACACTGAACTCGTCTGAACTTAATCTTTATTTGTCCATCTCTGTTGTCCTGTTTGTGTTCATTTTGTTCTTTTAAATTTACTTAATTTACCCCAAATGTAGTCGAGGCTAATCATAAACAAACAAGCGAACAACGTTCAGAGCTTAAAGATGACTGATACTGTTCTCAGCACTGTGGTGTGATGTCCTTTGGTCCATGTTTATAGACAACAATGTCACAAGGTGACAGACACCAGTCTATTAGAGATTACCCAAAGGGGAATTCCACTATATTTTCTAAACTTTCTGCAGAATTAAACAGATGAGATGAGAAGCAGTGTCGTTCAGAGAAAATTACCTAGTCAAAATTGTTCACAGTGGTGGTGATAGGAACCAGATATCCACCTCTAAAAGCTCCCTCACAGAAAGTTCCTACATGAAATGGTTATGAATTCACTGCCTGATGACTGAGACACTGTTTTATTGGTTTGAGAACTTAAACTCCATTCATGGTGGAGGGATACATGCAGGGTGCTGTGAGGCAAAATAGTCCCCAAAGAAAACTTATTTCAGATTTTCTTGTCAAAATGTTTGTTTTTTTTTCACTGTAATTGGCTCAGGAGGCTTTTTGACAGAGTCCTGTGTAACTCAGGGAAGAGTTTAAGTTTGAGTAGCGCAAGTTTCTTTAATCAGCAGACTTTAGGACTTGCCAGTGCTGCGCACCAGCCACAGTGAACACAAACTCTGGTAACTCCCTGTTCTTTTCTTGATATGGGTCAAAATAAACAGCGATTATAAATGGTACAATGAAGAAAAAACAAAAATAAACTCTATTTTTAAAAGAATGTTTTGGAAAAGGGCCTGAAGCTGAAGTTGGCTTCCTATTTACCAGGGGTCGTATTACAGAAACTTATTCTCTTTTTGTCTTAAGATCTGACAGGTCAAGATACATTTTTTCACAAATTTGTATTACAGAAGCAAATCTGATCTTAATTTAGGAATCTTATCTTACAGAATCTTCTCTCCAGTTAGCCAACAATCAACTGTCCTGTCTGTTACCTAGCAACCAACCATAAAATGTAAAACCTAAACACGCCGTCAAAATAATCAAGTCAGTTAGCGTCTAGTTGCTATTGCTGATGAAAAAAGATTAACTAAACTAAAGTGTGATAAACTGTGAGTTGTGAATATTGTGAGAGCGCCCCCTGCAGTTTATCAGAGCATCACCGCTCCCCAGTTTCAGTCTCCATTTCCAAAACAATTTTGCCGAGCACGCTAATGTTATTCCTCCGAATAAACAGACACACGTTCAGCTCCGTCTCCTCATTGTTCACTACTGTCACTGTAATGTTTTATCATCAACATTAACACACAAATGTAATAAGAGGAAATGGTGGAGATCGTGTTTTCTAGCATTGCACCTTTTTTTGATGTTCCTACATTTTTCATACAATGAATGTTAATTTCAATTTTTTTTTCCTCATAGGGGACCACCTGGAATACCATAGCAACCAGCTAGCCACACTCTAGCAACCACCAGGAACACAATAGCAACCATGTAGGAATGCCTTAGCAACCATTGCGAATACCATAACAACCACTTAGCAACACTCTAGCGACCACCTGGGATGGGATACCATCACAGCAATGTAGCAAGCACTGAGCACATTATAGCAAACAGCTAACAACACCCTAGCAACTGCCATGGAACACCATGGCAACCACCTAGCAACACCTGGGATACCATAGCAATAACCTACCAACACCCTTGCAACCAACTGGGATACCATAGCAACCACCTAGTAACACCCTAGCAACCAATTGGGAGCTTAGGCTGTGCAATCATTTAGAATTTTTTTTCTATTTTTTTTTCTTTTCACTCTTAGGCGCTTTGTCTTTATTTTCCTTTTGATGTTTTTTTTTGTTTTTATTTACATAATGTAGACTGAATTGCTTTTGTTTGTGAAATGTGCTACATGTATCAACATGCGTTTATCACTGTCTCTGGTGGTCCAGAGGTCTGGAGGTCTGGAGTCCAGAAAAGTTCATTAACCCAAAAAAAAAACAAAAAAAAACTATATAAGCCAAAACTGTATAAGAAAACTTTCATAGTTGAACAATTTCATAGTTGACTACGTTTGGGGTAATTTTGTGTATATTTCAATTTCTGCCAAACTTTCACTTTAATACACAAGAAAGAAACATTTTGCCTTTTGTTGCATCATCAGTTATGATGAGAGTCGTGACTGATGGTCAGCGTGTTTGAGCTGTGGTCATTCTGTTTATTCCCTAGAGCAGGCGGGGTCGATTGTGTCAGTGTGTGAGCGGCACAGAGACGGGCTGCTGGAGGGTCTGCGAGGCTGGGGGGGCGAAGCCATGCTGCAGGATTACATCCCCCAGTGTGACGAGAAGGGCCAGTACAAACCGCTGCAGTGTCTGGGCTCTACTGGACACTGCTGGTGTGTGGACAGCAGGGGGCAGGAGAGGGTGGGCACACGGACGCTGCCAGGCACGCCACACGCTAACTGTGACCAACCAGGTACAGCAACACCACCCCACCTTTACCAACAGCTGTATAGCAATAGTATAAAACATTCTAACATGCTCATTCAGCTTTTAGATCACCAGCATGAAACTGTAAATAAAAGTGAAGAAAGAGATGAGTCCAGAATGATGCAGAGCTGGAGAGAGTCTAAAACGATTGAGAAAGCTGAAAAACAAGAAGCAGAAGGTGTTCTAAATGTAAATGTGGTGATGAGGCAGATAACTCTAGAAAAATTGCTTTTAAATGAATAACATTATATTGTTTATCATTGAGTAACTTTTTATTGTTTCCAAAATTCTTGAAATATCAAATAAAAGAGCTATAAATCACTTCTGGAGGAGGACTACTGTATATACACTCACTGGCCACTTTATTGGAAACACCCCCTTTGTTCTTCCACTATTTAGCCACTTCATGTAGAATTAGTATTAGATTTTAATAACAAACTCAGCTACTATTCTCATTTTGAGTGATAGTTAAATCTGCCTTCAGGACACAGCCAGAGGTACAGAATTAAGAAATAAATGCAAACGAATCCACCGCTGGTTTTGCCAACACTTCACTATAAATAACTTGTGTTCAGCAGAAACGCCAAAGCTATCACAATAAAAGCCCCATATTATTCTGCTGTTTAATGGAAGTTTACTTAGTGATATATTTATTTATCACTCTATTCATTTATACTACTACAAATACTGTAGGGATAACGGTGTCATTGGAATTAAAATTTTTATTGTTATTAATAGTGGTAATACTGCACCATAACGTGCATTGTAACACTCTGTGGTAGTTTCACATTAGCAGTAATTAGTCTCTGCTAATTCTTCTGTGGGGTGAAACAGTAGCGTTTCATTTTGACCTGTTCGTGTTCTGTTGTGGACGTTGTAAAGTCTGCAGCAGGACACATCTGGGATGTGTTGGTTGGAGCGTTTAGTGTGTGGTGGGGCTGCTGCTATATTTAAGATGATAATCGCCCCTTGAGATTCGCTGTAATTAGCTATGCAGAGTTCACCCAGAAGAGTTGGAATTCTCTGAAGCTGTAAAACAGGAAATCTGCAAATAAATACAGCATATAAAACTATTCCAATGAAAGCAGCTCAGCGTAAGAGCATAAGAGGAAATAAACATGTACTAAAATGAATAAATAAATAAATAACTGGAGATAAATACAGACCATCAGCAGCACTGAGCTCTGACTCTCACCATTATGACCTCCACATTCAGCTCCTCATCAGATAAACAATGGGAATGTTTTTTTTTTTTTTCTTTTGAGATCTCAGATTAATTTTGGTATTATCTTGAGAGAACAAATGGTAGTAATCTTAGAGTCTTACGAAAATTATCTCATTATCTCAGGTTTTCTCAGAATGACATCAAAAATGAACTCATTATCATTATTGTGGGAGAAATTGCAAGTTTAAGTCCATTTGTAAATCGAGCTGCATACATTGTTTTACTGTACTGCTTTCAGACATTGTTTATTTCCAGTGTTGTTGTTTTAAACAGTATGACTCTGTCAGAGAAACTGTTATAAATATATAGATATTTGATTTTGCAGTCAAATTAATAATGCATCACATAACTGTAAGCTTTGTAGGTGCATTAATGTATTTTAATATTTGAATTTTTCATATGATAAAAACCAGTCAACTGATAAAACCAGTTTAACATGAATTAGTCAATATAACACTGTTAGAGAAAAAGAAAAATGATGATACGCTACTGCTAAAGTTATTATAATAAATATCATTCAGTAATAACTCATACAGTGTAGATTAAAATGCTATAAACTAGACATCAACACTTTATTCACAGTTTACAGTATTTTTGGAACAGTATAAAGTTAGGTAAAAAAGCAAATATGAAAGTACTATTAAAAATAACCTGTTTTTTGGAATTTCTTGTCACCACACTATAAATAGCCATTTAATTAGCAAGATTTGGTTATCAGTTTCTTTACAAGATGCTGTACAGATTTCTAAATTATAATTAAATCACTTACAACTCCATTTATCATCCGAAATGTCTGTTTCTACAGCTTCCTACAAACTGTTTCAAATTTGTAAGAAATTACAGTAACATTCTGTTTGAAGGACATCAAAACACATGCATAAGAATTAAATAACATATATTTATAAGGCAATATTTGGGTATGTATGACTACCCGATGCCAGTAATCGCAAAATACTATCAGCTGAAGTAAATGGCATTGTATTGACAAAAGGGTTTTGTACTTCAACTCATGTAGAACTACATAGAACTGATTTAAACTTCTAAACTAGACTTTCGTTCTAAGTTCTATTACTTGAGAATGATGCTCATAATAGTGTTTATGTCAATGCAATGTCATTTACTTCATACACATCTTATGTCATCTTGTGGTTGGGCATAAATGCTCCAATGTTGCTTCATGAATGTTATTCAGTGCTTATGCATGTGTTATGTAGTTCTTATTTAAGTAGCCTTCAAATAAAGTGGTTTCATAGAAGAATTTTATACACGCTCCATAAACGGTGCCCACACAGGTGATGATGACAAGACGCAGGTGTGTCATGCAGAGTTCTTTAGTGTGCTTGCTAAACTACAATGAGAAACCAAAACTAAATGGATCAAATATGTACAATATAACAAAAACATGACCCTCAGTTTGGACTTTCAGGTGTGAAAACGCTCTTATATAAATAAAATCAGTGACCCTAAACTTCTGAGCAGTTGTGTGTGTATATATTGGTGTGAGCTCTAGCAGCGAGCTGTGTCTGATACTCAGCAGAGAGCAGCTCTGGAGCGATGAATCACTGAAAATAAGCAAAATGAGCTGCTTAATCACAGAGAAAATATGAAAATAACCTTAAGAATGTAGACAAATTCTTCATTAAGCAGGAAATCCAGAAATAGAATATTCCTCCTGCTTCAAGCAGCTCGTTCCCTCAGACGGCTCATTAATCTGCTGCTGTGATAAGACTGTACAGATCACAGCACACTTTAACTGATCATATCTGTGAATAATAACTGAGGAGAGTGAACTACAGGACACGGTCAGCACCAAACAAACAAAATACTTTCACGAATCTGCTTCAGTGTTCAGGTTCACCAGCTCTAATGACTGTCATTCAGAGATTTTCCAGCTCATTTTAATACATCCAAAGAAAAGTTGGAACGCTGTGCAAAATGTTGTGCAAAAAAAAAAAAACAGAATGCAATGATGTGCAGATCATGTAAACCCAATATTCAATTGAAAATAGTACATATCAAATGTTGAAACTGAGAATTGTTACTGTTTTTTGAAAAAATATATGACCATTTTGAATTTGATGCAAGCAGCAAGTTTAAAGAAAGTTGGGATGGGGCCTGTTTACCACTGTGTTCATTACCTCTTCTTTTAACAACACTCTGTAAATGTTTGAGAACTGAGGAGACACTGCTGTAGTTTTGAAAGTGAAATGTTTTCCATTCTTTCTTAATATAGAATTTCAGCTGCTCAACAGTTTAGGGTCGTATTTTTCACTTCATAATGTTCCAGATGTTTTCAGTGGTGACAGGTCTGGACTGCAGGCAGACCAGTTTAGCACCCAGACTCTTTTACTACAGGGCCATGCTACTGTAATATGTGCAGAATATGGTTTGACATTATCTTGCTGAAATAAGCAAGGCCTTCCCTGAAAAAGACGTTGGACACTTTTCCACTTTGCCTCAGGCCATCTTAAATGAGCTTAGGCCCAGAGAAGGTGGCAGCGTTTCTACATCCTGTTACATATGGTTTCTTCTTTGCAAAGTAGAGTTTTAACTTGCACTTGTGGATGCAGCGATGAACTGTTTTCACAGACAGTGTTTTTCAGAAGTGTTTCTGAGCCCATGCAGTGATTTCCACTACAGACTAATATTGGTTTTCAGCCTTGTCCCTTCCATACAGAGATTTCTCTGGATTCTTTGAAACTTTTAACGTTATTATGTACCGTAGATGATGAAATCCCCAAGTTCTTTGCTATTTTACTCTATTTTTAGGTGTGAGATGTTCCACCAGGTGATTTTTAGCATTACACAACTTTACCAGTCTTTTGTTGTCCCTGTCCCAACTTTTTGAAATGTGTTGCTGGCAACAAATTCCAATTGGACATATGTTTTTCAAAAACCTCAAATTTCTCAACATTTGATATGTTGTCTTTGTACTATTTTCAATGAAATGTAGGGGTTCACAAATTTGCATATCACTACACTCCATTTTATTTACATTTTGCAGAACATCCCTACTTTTTTGGAAACAAGGTTGTACAAAATATATTGTACAATTCTGTATCTCTGTGCCACATCACCAAAAATCCTTGCGCTGTTAATAATAATCTTTGACTCTAATGCGGGTCACATGGACCACCATGTATACTGATGAAGTAAGAGCCTGGTTCTGTTTAAACTGAGTGGCTGATAGCTTGTTTTCTTAACTAGAACCAGGCTGGCCAGCTAGCTAAAAGATAGCAAACAAGCTAAACAACTCCATTATTTATATCACAGGCTTGAATTAAAGTACTTATGGTATGATTCACTGTAAAACTGCAGTAAAAAAGACTAAAGAATGTCACTTGAATGTCTTACATGCTTCAAATGTCCGTGTTTCAGTCAGTCAAACCCAGACTGAGCCTCAAACGGCTCCATACTCCCTAAATAGTGCTCTAGGGAAGTTTAGAAATTCTAGCTTCTACAGCCAGTCAGTATTTGTTGAGTGTGGATATGTCTGAATCCCAAATGACTATTTGTTAGCTATATTATTCACCGGTGGGCTGCAGAAGCCAGTATTTAAATTCCTCGTAGTGCACTATGTAGGGAGCAGGGAGCCGTTTGAGATTGTGCCCCAGCGTGGGAAGAGGGGCACCGTTAGCTTGGTGCTAAATAAGACTTGCGGTGGTAATGTGGTGTCCAAAAAGAATGAAGGTTTCTTATTAAACAGTGCTTTATCATACGTTCATTTTATATGGCAAAAAGTTTATGAAATGACTGCAATATAAAGTGATTGGTGACCGAATGTTCTTCTCCTCATTCAGCAATCCATGGTTGCTTGGCAACAATACCATACCCTAAAGAAACTACACTTCTTGGTGGAATATGTTTATGTTGATTATTATCAACAATAACTTACATAATTTTCTGAAAGATTATGTATTTTATCATATTGTATGTTATCTACCGTTTTATAAAAGCAATAAGCCACTCAACGAATGTAGAAACGGAGTGCTGGTTTTGTTGTTATGACTGATCAGTGGTTAATATTATTTTGCTCCACACAGTGGTGCATGGTGACATCAAAAATCAGAAGGTGTTTCAGAGGCGGGTCTAAAAGCACTACATTTTGAAAGAAGATTACAGGAAAACAGGAATTTACTTTTTTTTAAATGATATGATGAGTCGTGATTTATATGACCAGAGTTTTTTGCAGGAGAACTTGAACATGTTCTTTGGTCACTGTATGATATCGTGTCATTTCATAGTTTTGAGGTCTTTGCTGTTATATTAAAATGTAAGTAACAGTTTAAGTATTTGAGTAGGTGCGTCCAGACTAGGGGTGGGGGGAAAAATCGATTCTTGGATGCATTGCGATTCTGAAACGATTCACAAATGTCAAAAATCAATTTTCTCAATTTTAATTGATAATGTATTGTTGACGGAACACAAAAGGCGGAACTTTGCGAAGTGCGGAAGTGCAGCAGCCGGACAGTCTGTGGCGTGTACACTACATTAAAAGCAAGGTCAGGGGTTGCAACCCAAATGTTAAGGAGCCATTTTGTCTTTTCAACAAAAATCTAACCACCTTGGGGTCCACAACATTTTTGAGTCCATTTTACCATCTTGGCTGTACATGTGTCTCAGTACTTGCTAATGTCTTAGTGTAGGCTAAAAATATAATACAAACAAAAACGCAGACTTGCTTTGCTCTGCTTTAAGCTTTAGCTCAGCTGTAGCCGCTTTTCTTTGCATCACCAGCCGGAAACTTTCCACAAAATTAAAACAGTTTCTCGCAAAATGTCTCTCAATGTTCTACTGTTTTACGAGGCTGAAGTCAGTTTCTCATTCTCCAGCTTCTCGTTCGAAATTTCCCATTCCACCTTAAATGGTGCCTGAGGCGCCAGAATGTGCTGCTGCACCATTTAAGGTGGAACGGGAAAATTCAAACAAGAAGCTGGAGAACGAGAAACTGACTTCAGTTTCACATATTTTTTTTAGTGTTTGACAGTTTCTCATTGCAGATTAAATGTATCAGGAAACCAGCTGAGTGATTATAAATGCAAGTAAGTCTATTCATCTCTAAATTATCGATTATTATCTTAAATCTTTCTCTTTGCCTTTTCGTTAGCTACTAGCTAGGTGAACTAGCAGTTGCAGGCTATATTAATTCCAGCGTTTAAGATCATTTATTGTTAAGACTGTGTTTGCACGATCAGCAGAGCTTTATTTTACTGCAAAGGAGGATTATTTTATTTTTACCTAGAAATCTAATACTGATGTGGAGCCGCATGTGGCCAGTAAAAGAGCCGCAGGTTGCCGACACCTGAGCTAGCGTATGGAAGCACTTTGGCTACTATGGAGTTGAGGGGGAAACCATATTGCATTTCCACCCATTTCCCGCCCGGTTGTAGTTGCTGCCAACCAGTTGGACCATCAATCCAGCGATGTCAAAACTTCGACCCAACTCGGAAAGGATGACGCGAACTACAAACTCTATCGCAACTTTTATTGCCAAGGATTTGCATCCATACTCAGTCTTTGAGAACCAGGGCTTTCGCGCTATGCCGAGATACAGCGTCCCGTCTCGGAGATATTTTACTGACACAGCGACCCCCAACTCTCTACAATGAGACCAAAACTGAAGTTATGAAATCACTGAAGAAAACAGGTAGGACAGCTGTAATCTGCTGCATGGACATTCATTGCCACAGGATCTTATTTCATCGTAACTGCGCATTTTATCGCAGATGAGTCGCAGCCAGTGTCTCGTGCTCCAAACAAGAGCAGTGAATGAGACCCTTCCAGTTCACTTGCCATATCGCTTCCATTTTATTTATAAATAAAAGATATTGGAAGTAAATTCATTATGGATCATTACAAATACTTTGCTTTAAGTTGTCGCGCAGTGAAAAAAAATCCTGTATAGAAAAAAAGATGCATCAATAATCGTTTTATAATCGCATCGCAGCCTCTGAATCGTAATCGAATTGTGAGGTGCCTAGAGATTCGCACCCCTAGTCCAGACTGTGCTGTATAGTGTGATCTTGTGTTCTTCCTCTGAATGCAGCCTCATTTATGAGTCATATTCACATGTGAGCGATATTCCGTGTTTAGCAGTGAGCTGAGTGAGTTAAATATGATGTGGTGTAATGGAGGTCAGCTCTGTGCTCAGGGAGTTTATTTTGTTGTTTTTTGGTTATTCTCAGCTCCTCTCATCCCACGGGCAGAGACACTGTGCGAGCGCTGGAGGACCACTCTGCTGAGTCACTATGGCGGCCAGCCGGACCCTCAGGACTACATGCCCCAGTGTGACGCACGCGGACACTTCCTGCCGGTGCAGTGCTACGGCAACAGCAGCTACTGCTGGTGTGTGGATCCGCAGGGCCGGGAGGTGATGGGAACGCGCTCACATGATCCAGTAAAACCTGCCTGTACGTCACATCGTCAGGAAATACTGATTCAGATCTAGTGTGGAACCACAGCAAACATTCCACATCCACCTTACTGCGACTGCGGAATGCTAATGCTAGGAAAGCATAAAATTAGTTCAGTTTAGTTTAATTCAGTTAAGGTAGTCCATTTCATTTCAGTTCGATCCAGGTCAGTTCAGTTCACTTCAGTTTGGTTTAGTTGAGTTCGATTCAGTTAAGTTGAATTCAGTTAGAGTCAGGTCAGTTCAATTCAGTCCTGTTAAGTTTAATTCAGTTCAGTTCACCTCAGTTAAATTCAGGTAAGTTAGTCCAATTCAGTTCAGCTCAATTTAGTTGAATTCAAGTCAGTTGAATTGGAATCAGTTCCATTTAATTCCATTCAGTTTAGTTCAGTTCACTTTAATTCAGTTTTGTTTAGTTCAGTTCAATTCAGTTCACATCAGTTCAGTTTAATTCAGTTCAGTTCAGCTCAGTTCAATAAACACTTACTTAAACAGCATTTTAATTCTAATTTTCTCAGATGTCTAAAACATTTGCACAGTACTGTATATCAGCACTTCACAATTACATATTCAGCTTTTGGGGTCTTTCAGTCTGACTGAACATAAACGCTTTCTCATTCAGATGACCCCTAATAGACTATAGTATCCGCTGATCTGCAGGTATCTCTGCTGTCCCGCCGGTGGTCCAGTCGTCGGTGCACCCTGTAGTGACCTCTTCACCCTCAAGTCCAGCTCTTCTCTCTGCCCATGGATCAGAAATCAGAGTAATTCCTCTGGACAATTCTCACCCAGTCCAGGAAAAAGCTTCAGTGCTGTTGTCTGTGCAGGTAATCTGAGCATCTTAAAGGGACAGTTCAGCAAATAATAAAGTTCCCCAATTTGGACTTTTAATTTTAAATCATACTAGCCCAACCTAGATATGCAGTCTTTGTGAGTTAAGTCACCACTATACCTGTGAGATTTGACAAGCTTTTATTTCAGCTGTAGGTCAGAACATTAAAGACATAATCTGTTCAACAAACAACAGTTTGAAGACACACTATAATTATAGTAGCAGTACTAGAAGGTATAGATCAAAAATAAAGGGAATATACTAATTACGTTATGTGGCTATTCATTTTGCACCAAAGTACAAATCAAATATTAAAAATGCTATTGTGTCTTATACATATTGAGCCAATATGTTATATTTGCCACCCCTGCAAAGGGCAATTCCATCAATTTCTACATTTTCTGCACAATAAAAGGTAAAAGATGTAAACGGAGTCATTCAGAGTGGTTTGGTGTGAAACTCTCTGTTCTAGAGAAACTTACCAGTCAGAATTGTTCACAGTGGTGGTGATAGGAACCAGACGTCCACCTCTAAAATCTCCCTCACAGAAAGTTCCTACATGAAATGGTTATGAATTCACTGCCTGATGACTGAGACACTGTTTTATGATAGTTTTAAGAACTTCAACTCCGTTCATGGTGAAGGGATACATAATATGCAGGGCGCTGTGAGGCAAAATAGTCCCCAAAGAAAACTTATTATTTCACATTTTCCACTATTTTCACATCAACATTCTATATAAAGCTCAGAAGACTCGTGTAGGTTAACTGGTGGTTTTGATTTTAGTTAATAACAATATAATATTTGTGTTGTAGTCATGGTGACCCCCGGTTCCTATCACCACCACTGTAAAGACACGTGAACCATTAAACACCAAACCACTCTGACTCACTCTGTCTACATCTGAATTGTGGGTGAATTCTGAAAAATGGATGGAATTCCCCTTTAAAGTACTCTTGTCCCCTTGTGCCACCCCATGTCTAAATCCTAGACAGTCCACTGGCGGGGTGGGGGTTTGGTGGTGGGGGGGATTCTGCACTAAACTATTCCTTTAATGTGTAAATACAGCATACAGACACTTTCCTTACAGCTAAACAGCCCAGCATGTATCTGACAGTTATTTATTTAAATTCTGGAGATCAGATATTAACAAATTAGCTTTCTAGATTGTATTAAATCCTGAAAAAAATGACACAGTTTAAGAATGTAATCCAACCCTGAAACACAGCTGTTCATGTTCAGAATAAGGTATCTGCGCGTTTAGCAGCAGACGGTAGTGTGTATATTTGTTCCTACAGGACTCTGTTGTGGTTGGGATCAGCTACGACTGCCAGGAGAACACTCTGTACTGGAGCGACATGGCCAGGAGCTCCATTAGCAGAGCCAGCTTAGAGTTTGGAGCAGAGCCAGTCACCATCATACATACAGGTAGCTCACAACAAATATCTGCTAAATACAGCTTCACTTTTATTACACGTTCTACTGACCATCCATCCATCCATCTGTTCACACGTTAAAGGGCCATGTCAGGAGAAACTGAATTTTAATGCGTATCATTCACTTCCCCATACAGTCCATATATGAACTAAACTGCTAAAACAGCCAGTTTAGAATTAAATGTTTTTTGTTTGTTTGATTTCACAAGAAACAATACATTTACATATATCAGCCTTCAGCAGTTTAGCCCTTCCTATTTGGCCTGTAGCAGTTTAGCACCGCCCATTCGGCCTAGAGTAGTTTAGCCCAAACAATCCCTTTGCCTGCTTAAGTAGTTCTTTGCATGGTGAAATGGTTCTTCAGGTTGATGGAGAATGTGTTGGATATGGTTCTATATAGCTACACCGCATCCTATTGTAACAATAAAAGAACGCTTTCGTGCGATATAGAACCGTATTGTTGAATATGGGCCCTGTAAAGCACCTGTCCATTTCCTCCATCATTCGTCTGTTCACTACCGTCTGTTTATTTTGTTTTTGTCTGATAAGCTTTCTCACCTCATTTGTTTTAATAATCATATTTTTTCCCACTGGGATATTTGAATGGTATTCATTGGAAACATAAATGACTGTTAAAGTACCCGTCTCTAATAATGTGTGCTGGTGCGCTGTAGATGTGGTCAATCCGGAGGGTGTTGCAGTGGACGCTGTGCACAGGCAGCTGTTCTGGGTGGACAGTGGAAGTGATCGGATTGAGGCAGCCGACCTGGACGGACAGAACAGGAGAGTTCTGTTCGACACCGACCTGGTCAACCCGAGGGCCATCACAGTGGACACCACCAGCAGGTCAGAGACACCAGAACACATTCAGGTCTTAACTGGATGTTCCACTTCTGTTCTGCCGACTCACTGACTTGAGTTTTGGGTCAGTTTATCTTCTGTTGAAGAGTTTCATGGTTGCTTTACAGTACTACAGTAAAGTATAAATAATCCAGTTTTCAGAAGGAGGAGAGAGAAGAGGTTCTGTGTGTGTGTGTGTGTGTGTGTGTGTGTATATATATATATACACACACACACACACACACACACACACACACACATATATATATATATATATATATATATATATATATTTGCTGTAGTTGTTGTTTCTCTCCTTCAGGACTCTGTTCTGGACAGACTGGGGCCGCGATGCTCCCAGAATCGAGCGCTCTTCTGTGGAGGGCCTCCACCGGACGGTGCTGGTGGGTGATGGACTCAGATTGCCCAACTCTTTGACCATTGACCCTGTAACAGGCCACCTGTGCTGGGCAGACGCAGGTGAGCCTCCCACTTCCCGTTGCACTTCCTCTCAGTGTGTCTGTTTGTAAAATTGTCTGAAGCTGCATGTAGCTGAAACAGCTACAGTCAGAAGTTTGGGGACACTTGGCTTTCCAAAATGTTTTGGTACACATCTGATCATGTCAGTTTTGTAGTAACTGGCTATGTGAAAACAATATCACACCTATTAAATATTCATGTCGGTGACGGTGTTGCCTTGGGAATATAAACAGGCCACGCCCACTCCCTCCCCTTGTAATGTCACTCATCAGCACTCAGTCTTTTTAGACCAAAACTCAGTATGTACTGTTAAAGGGCTCATACCCTATGTTTTTCTGGCATTTCATATTTTCCTGAGATCCACTTTTAACATTTGTGGTGTTTTATGCCCCCAAAAAGATTCATAACCCATTTTTACGTGACTCTTAATGGGCTGTTTTTGTTACTGGGCCTTTTAAGACTGATGCATGTAAATGAGCTCATACATCTGGGGACACCTTGATTTCTTCAGAGGTTTTAATTTCCTCACTGTTTACATTCAGTTAGGTGAGGGGGAAAAAATCTTAAAAATTGTTTATCATATATCAGCTCTGTGCGGCTGCTTTGTTTATGTTTATCTTCAGGAAGTGTCAGAGAAGTCAGTTTTCCATGATATGGGCCCTTCAACAATAGGTAGCCCCTTAAAGTTTTATTACACAAGAATAGCTCAGTCAGTTTGCATTGAAGTCCCTGTAGTTACAGAATAATAAGCTTTAGTGTGTAATAAGCCTGAGATTTTAAAAGGTTAAAGCCCCATATCATGGAAAATAGGAAAACTATGACATGGTTATTTAGACAGAACTTGCTCTTCATACCAAAGGAAGACACTTTGATCAACATGAAGCTGAGTGCTAAAAGATAAACATACACAAAGCATCCCCACAGAGCTGATTTATGATAAACTAGGTCTTTTTGTGGGATTTTTTCTTACCCAACTGAGCGTAAACAGCGAGAAAATAAAATTTTCTGGTGAAATCAAGGTGTCCCCAAACTTCTACCATGTAGAAGAACCATGTCACTACGTTTTTGTGCTGTTTAAACACACAGGCACAAAGAAACTGGAGTGTATCTCTGCAGATGGAACAGACAGACAGGAGATGAACAGCGGACTCGATTATCCATTCAGCCTGACTGTTTATAACAGCCACTTCTACTACACCGACTGGGAGAGGTGCGTCATTACCGTAACACTGCCCAACTGTTTCTACTTACGCTAATGTACTTTTGTCCATGTTTATAGATATCATTGTGTCATAGTGCGTAAGAAACCACATAATCAAGACTATTATTGAGGTAACTGAAAGGGGAATTCCACCAGTTTATCAATTTCCCCTAATTCATATGTAAACACAGTGATTCAGAGTGTTTTGGTGTGAAATGTTCAGATGTCTTTACAGTGGTGGTGATAGGAACCAGGGGTCGCCATGACCTCAACACAAATATAGACATTTTATTTACTATCCAAAACTACCAGTGAACCTACATGTGTCTTCTGGGTTTTATATGGAATGCTGATGTTGTGAAAATTGTGGAAAATCTGAAATAAGATTTCTTTGGGGACTATTTTACCTCACAACACCCTGCATATAATGTATCCCTCCACTGTGAATGGAGTTTAAGCTCTCAAAACTCATAAAACAGTGTCTCAGACACCAGACAGTGAATTCATAACCATTTCATGTAGGAACTTTCTGTGAGGGAGCTTTTAGAGGTGGACGTCTGGTTCCTATCACCACCGGTGTGAACAATTCTGACGCGGTAAGTTTCTCTAGAACACAGCGTTTCACACCCAACCACTCTGAACGACTCTTCTGAATGATCACTTTAATCTTCCTACAGAAATGGAATAGTGGTGATAGATAAAGCTACAGGAAAGCAGACAGATTATCTCCCAGCAAAGAAATCCCACCTGTATGGAATAACACTCATCCCGTCACGGTGTCCGTAGGTGAGCATAAGTGCAAATCACATCGCCAATTTATAGTTAATATCATAAAACATACCATTATTCTTTGTAATCTGGCTACAACAAACATGCTAACATGATTATATCATCCTGTTTTGTCTTTTGAAGGGCTTGTGGGAAAAGTGCTGAAACTTCCCGTATTGTTTATCCTTCTGCACTGTACAAAACATACTGAAGAGTTAATAAAGTGTGAACAGATTATTTGAACTGTGATGCTGTTTGATCTTTTCTTTAGTAATTATTAGTACAGAGATGCTCAGGGCAGCTGTAGACGGTTTTCTCCAGCAGATGGCGCCACAAACACAAATACAATCCATAGCAAACTGCTCACGTGTATTTCCAGAAGAAGGCACAGTATACCCTTAGCAAAAAGAGTCCTATATAGTACTGAAAAGGGGTTCTTTGACTTGTAACAATAGTTGAACCCCTTTTGGTGCACTATAGACTAATTTCCTAAGGTTCTAAGGTTCTGTATAGAACAATTTTCAGCACATTCTCCATCAGTCTGAAAAACTGTTTCATGATGCAAGAATGATTTAATCATGCAAATGGTTCTTTGAGTGTTTATGGTTCTATATAGAACCAATTTCTTTACTAAAGAACCCTTGAAGCACCATTTTTTAAGAGTGTAGTCTAACATCATCCTCCAGTAAAACTACTGTTACTGCAGAGAAATAATGAGTACAGTAAAAACAAAAGTATTCTGAGTAGAACAAAAGTAGCAGCCCAAAAAACTTCTAAATACTGAGTAAAAACTGCAGTTTAGAACATAAAACATCTATCAGTAGTGAAAAAGTACACTACTGTTACATTACACTAATGTTATGGCACCAGAATGAAACAGCTGCACCATTTAAGGTGGAACGGACAATTTGTATAAGAAGCCAGTTTGCCTCAAACACCAAAATATAACATCTGCCCCATTTAAGGTGGAACCGGGTGATTTGGACAAGGGGCCAGTTTCGCTCAGAGCCCCAGAATGTAACAGCCAGGGCCATTTAAGGTGGAACAGGCTATTCGGACAAGGAGCCAGTTTCGCCCCAAGCCCCAAAATACAGAACACCCAATCACAACTGAGGTCATTTACCTATATCAGTCTTAAAGGCACAGCAGCAAAAACAGCCTGTGTAACTGTAAGGGATAAAGCTGAAAAATGATCATGTAGAAATAACTTATGACTGTTTTTGATACATAAAACCACTTAAATGTTCTGAGTGGAGCTCAGCAGAAAATAAAATGGTAGAAAGATGTAGAATGTCAGACAGTCCTGTTTCCCATCATTCAAAATCAGGTAACACTTAATGGTCATTTCAGTTTTACAATCTTCATCACCAAAAAACAGACGCCATGACTTGGAACGTGGAAGATGTTGAGTCCAACATTCCTGCCGTCCACCAGCATCCATATTACTGCATACGATCTCAGCCTTAAGAGTCAGTTTATCCATGGAGAGGATAAACTCATGCTGTAATTTTATCTGAATTATTTCTGATTAGTAGCTTGCTGTAGTGGAGGTTGTGTATGGAAACTTTTGAACCAGACCACATTACTGTGTATAAGTAGATAAAAAGAAATATAATTATGAACTAAATTTGATGAGAAGTTGTGTTCAGTCATGTTTTACAGAAAGGAAAAAAAATATTCTTTACATTTTTACTGTTTTTGTCATTACTGTTTCTGTCTCCTTTTCTCAAGGAGGCTTCTTGACAGCTACACATCCTTTTAGACCCATAGCGCTCTCTTAAAGATGAAAGCTTTATGTGCTGTTTATCTAATGGGGGGATTCGGTGTCTACCAGGTCTTTCAGATGGTTGTTAGGAGTTACGTCTTCACCAGTTTTTAAATTCCAATTTTGGAAATTCCATTTTGCTTTGACTTCCTCCTTCATTATGCAAGCAGATTATCTCATATCTGACCTCCTCAGACAAAAATGCACAGTATTGTACATAAAAAGATCCAGTGAAGCTAAATCTGTATTTTCTTTCTAGTCAGGTTAATTTTGTTCTTACAGGTAAACAGTAAACATGTACTAAGTCACCTTTTGAATAGTGTTCCAATGGCCAATTAATGACTGATCTATTTCACCATATTTCTCTCCTCTGGGCAGTCCTAATGTTTGGTAACACTTATGTAGGCATTCCCCTGACCAATCACAAGGCTGTGTATGTGGCCCCACCCACACAGAACAGTTTCAGAGTCAGAGAAGCTTAGTGAGCTAAAGCTAACCTAGCATAACCAAAAGCTAGCGAGCTAGCCCACCTGTCTAAAGCTGCCTGTCACCCGTTGACTCGTTTATCAACAACAACATTGTTTGTTTGTCTGTCTATTCGTCTGTAACTTTTTTTGAGATTATTGTTGAGAAGCACTTTCTAGTGTATCTTTGGAAAAGTGCTACACAAACAAATGTTTACTTACCTAATAGTGCTTATTTATTTATTACCCTTCATTTTGGTTACAAAATATCAAAGTGTCTCACACAGGAAGATGAAACCTTGGAAAGATAAGTCAGTGGTCTTAGTGAGGAATGCTGTTGGACGGTTTGCTGGCCTGCTGTAAAAGTGTGCTCTGATATTCCTACACAAACAGGCTGGTTTTACTCTCAGGATTAAAAACTGCCAAAGAAACTTGAGCTTTCTCCATCAGAGAGAAGAGACGCTCTAGACCGCCCAGCCTGACCGGGCCGGCGGGTTCAGCCAGGCTTTACTCAACACTGTGGCCACACTCTGGGTGGGGGGGTCTGTTTAAACCCTGGCCTGGTCACTCAGGCCACAGAGTTCTTCAGAGAACCGGAGAAGGCCCCTGGGGGCCACAGGGGTCAGTTCCTATGTTATTGGCTTTGGTGTTTGTGTTTGTATTTGGTCATAATGAGATTTGTGGTTTAAGGCTACATTTAGAGGAGCATATCTGATGCGTATCTGATCTTTTCTTGGAGGTCTTGGAAAGAGAAATCGCAAGCAGCGCAACATTTTCAATTCCACAGTCAGCGGTTTTGGCGCAGCCTGCTGATTGCTCATCTCAGCACGTAAAAGAGAGACCAGGTTCAGCCGTACAGATCGCAGGTCCAAAAAAGCTGGGTCACTGTGTGAAATGCTAATAACAACAGAAAGCAGTGATTAGTAAGTTCAGTTTGACTTGTATTAAACTGAAAATAGTACAAAAATACAATATTTTATGTTTTATTTTATTACCTTTTGTGTTTGTTTGTAAATAATTTTGTAAACTTATTTGTAAAATGTACAACTCATTCCAAATTTGATGCCTGCACCACATTCCAGCAAAGTTGGGACAGGAGCACGTTCACCACTGTGTTACATCACCTTTCCTTTAACAGCACTTAACAATCACTCATCAAAGTGATTACTGCAGCTGGACAGGTCTTCAGCTGTGCAGCCATACAGGGCCTTCATTGTTGTACTTTGAGCTTCATAAGAAACAAAGCTTTCAATGAGTGACAGTTCTGGACTGAAGGCAGGTCAGTCTAGCACCCGCAGATGATTTAAAAAAAAACTGTTTTTATTTGTATTTCACATACTGCCCCCACCTTTTTGGAATTTGGTTTGTAAAACTGTCCAAATGAGAAGTTGTGATGAAACAGCTGGACCTTATAGCTTATATTTCTGTCTGTGACCATTTGCATAATTTTTAAAAAGCACTCACACCTCATTCACACTTGGCATTAACTTGCATCAGCTATGACTTGCAGAGTTCCTCAAGGCTCAATTCTAGTGCCCCTATATGCTCCCATTAGGATGAATCCTGCAGGATGCCAAAATTGCTTATGGTAGTTACATTGACAACACCTAGATTTACTAAACTCTCTCGCCAGACGACCCATATAAACTCTGTATTAGTGCTTAGAGCATATAAAGTGATGGATGTGCCAACATTCCTCCAGCTAAATAAGGAAAAGGCAAGTGTCATTTTATTTGGCAGTGAGGAGGAAAGAATGAAGGTTCATGCTAATACTGGCCCAGAGGTCTAAAGACTGAAGACCAAGTCAGAACCCTGGGTGTTCTGATGTTAATCGTCCGGTTACCCTGCACACCCAACTCTGCTTGTGTTTTAGAGACAGGCCCCCAAAATGGCCAAGAGAGGGAAGTGATTTGACTCACTGCAATGAAAATATAGCATTATTTCAACAGTGTAGCTACTCCACCCTAAAACAAGCACACAGGTCTGCGCCATGCTCAGCAGTGATCTGTCATTAGTGAGTTATCTCACTATATTTTATCATCTAGTTTTGCTTGTTGTAAGAAATTTGCTTGAAAGGAGCAGATTTATTTGCCAACACAGTGAGATAATTTGACGGTTCGAGATCAACCTGCAGCAACAGCTCAGATTTTTTTTTAATCAATATGGATTCTCACCTGAACCCACCTGAAACTCTCTCCACCACCAGACTGACCCCAGATGATGTCAGCAAGGCCCCGCTGTCATGGCAACCAGGCCAGGTAAGCGGCATGTCGGATAAATATTCATTCCCGAACGGCGAAGCCTCCCGTATCGCTAAACATGCTGAGGTCCAAATATCTGAGCTCAGTCTGCAGATGTGAGGAGAGAGATTTACTGTTGGGATAACTAACTGACCTCACTCAGCAAACACTCGGACACACCACAGGCTGGACGAGCCATCCATCCTGGAACACAGCAGCACTACTGCAGTGAGAGAGAATGTAGGATCTGCTGTGTCTCCTGACAGGGTAGACTGACTCTCCACGACTCTCCTCATTCATCAAGGCTGCGTTCGGGCAAACCTGGTCATACCTTGAGCGTCCAATACGCACGTTTCACAGCCAGATTTGATCTTCGTCAGATTCATCTTTGGCGTATCTGTACGATCAAACCCACGAGTGTGTAAATCCGGGCGGGTTCTTCTATTGCTACGAGGTCAGGTTTGTAACAATAGAAGAACTCTTTTCAAAAAGGTTCAATATAGATTATATATATGTACAGATGGAACTGACACTTATGGTACAAGTAGTCTGCGTATGCACAGCTGGTGCAACCGGACACAGGTGAACGGAGCTCATTGCTGCAGCTCTACAATCTCCACATTGGCTTCCAGTTAGTCACAGAACAGAGTTCAAAGAGCTGCTAGTCTATAAATCGCTGAATAGTTTGAACCCAGAACGCATCTCTGATCTGTTTAAAGAATATAAAGCGAGTCGATCTCTTAGATCCATAGATTCAGGTCAGCTAGTCGAGTC